TAATCTGCTAATTCAATGCAATTTCACTTAAAGTTATTATATAGCACTTTTCAGTGGAACTAGACAAAATGATGCTAAAATTGATATCGAAAAGCAAATGACCCAGAAGAGAAGAGGAGAAGAAAGAGGAGGAGGCCTCCACTTATCACTTGGGCCACATTCTTTTAGCCCAAATAAGTCACAAGACCCATTCAGATCCAAGGTCAAGGTCAGGGAAGACCCACATCACTTCTTCATGGGAGGGGCAGGAAAATCACAATGCCAAGGGCCTGGACTCAGGACAGTGGTGGATCGTGGCCACTTTGGCAAAGCAACACAACACAACCCTGGTCACTTGCATCCTGTGACCTCAGACAGGAGGCAGGGCACTCTGGGTATTTTCTTCACCTTCCACCGGGGTTTGTGCTTAGAGGCAAAAGGAGCTACCAGCAGTGCCTAGGAAAGTAAAGTGGCCAAGTGAAAATGGATTTGGACAAATACATCCCGAAGTTCAGGGGAGTCTGAGACAATCAGGAAGGTCCTGGGGACACAGGAACAGAGGTCATGAGTGACACAGGGTCGTGAGCAGCTGCGGGAGCCTTGTTGTTTCTCATAATTAGTGTCCCAGATCAGCAGTGATAGGTGTCTTCTCCCCTTTCCCTCTGAAGAGCCCAGGGCCCACCTCTCCCCATGAGAGGGCAAAATGAGGGCTGTAGACCTGCTGTTCAGGGACTTTCACTGTCCCAGTGGACCTGGGCAAGCAGGGAAATACTGGTGCAAGGCAGTCACTTTGCCTTAGGGCGCTATGGGGTGGGCTGTGAGGGCATGCTGGACAGCACCTGCTCCCACCCTGTCCCTGTCCTGTCCCCTCGCAGTGCCTGGCGAAGAGAGCTGGGCTCTGTGCTTAGTCACCACAGTTGAGACATGGCCGATCACGCGGCTTTGTGCTGCTCACCGATGTCCCAGAAGGGACTGAGCATCCCCGGAGAGGCCTCAGTCCACACTGCCCATCAGCAAGGAGAGCTTGCCAGGGTTGATCATCAAATAACAAGAAAATTAATGTTCCATCTACTCAGGGTAGAAGAGAAGGGAGGAAGGGCAGGAGTTGGAGGACAGGGCCCAAGCAGCAGGGGCAGGGCAAAGCCTTGAAGGGGACTAAGTTCACAGCCCTAGTTTTGTGTTCTGTTTTGTTTCCACTTTTATTTTTATGAGAATTCTTATGAGAACATGTTTGCATTACATGGCTATCACGTTCCTTGTGGAGAGTTGGTACATGGACATAACACATCTCAATTATTTTTTCAGCTGCTTTCCCTGTCCTCTGTGTTTGATAAAGAACTGGAGGAGAGGACTTGAAAGTTTTCTAATACATGAAATGATCAGTGTTCAAGGAAAAAGGAAATGCTACCTACGCTGACTTGATCATCACACATTGTATACATTGCTAACATGCATCAAATTAGCACACCGCACCCCATATATATGTTCGGTTATTGGGTGCCAACTAAAAGTAAAATAAAAGAAGTGGAAAAGATTTAAAATATAGTATATGTAAGATAGATGCGTGTGTGTGTGTGTGTACTTTATGATAGGTGTTTGATATATGTTTAACCTATTTGGGTTACCAGATAAGCTATAGTATGTACTACGTACAAATATACAAGTATATAACTACAAATATACACGTAGACATAACACAAACATGTACTCAGATGTCTACACTGAAAGTATCTATGAGTCAACATGAAGTACGCACATGTTTCACAACGCACCACGTGTGAGCTCAGCCTGTTCCCGGCGCTTTCTTCAGCATATCCTCAGCATCGGGACTGCACGGCTGCCCTGAAGGTGACAGGTAGGGCAGACCCTTGAGGCTCCAAGGCTCAGAGCGCGAGTGTCCCCACCCTCGAGGCGCCTCTCGAAACCCGAGGATAAGGCTAGAGTGACTGTGTGCACAGATCTGTCACACGAGGCCCAGGCCCGACACAGGGATTCCATGAGCCCTGGGGCAGACTTCATTCGGGTCCCAAGAGGACGCAGAGCCGTGGCACAGGTGGCCTCAGGAGGAGGAGGGGTCCCTTGGGCTCAGCGTGTGTGCGGGTGTATACGTATCCCATAAAGCATTCCTATCCGGGGCGTGTGTGTACTCCATGCGCTTTTTATATATAGTGTGTTCGTATTTATACATTATATGTACATGAAATATATATTATGTATAAATTATATTCTATTCTGTTTGTTATATTATAATTTGTATAATTGTGTTTGTTGTGTTATAATACATTAATTATTGTATATAAATCCTATGTTTATGAAATATATAATGTCTTGGTTACTGTTCTCTCACTGCTGAGATAAAATACCCAAGACCCAAAGTTAAAGGGGGACAGGTTTCTTTGGCTCATGGTTCAGAGCGGTTTCAGTCCATAATCGCTGGCTCCAAGGCAGACAAGGCGGCAGCGCGGACAGGCCTTGCGGAGGAGAAGCCACAAGGGGCCCTAACCACACCTTTCTGCCCCTTTTATCCCATCCAGACTACGGAGGTTAGGGCGGCGCCAAGCCACTCACTCACACGGAGCGCTTTAGTATCACACCCTTGACCCCAGCACCACACGTTTCAGATTTAATCACTTCTGGAACAGAAAGCCCCACTTCATCCACATGAGGCTTTGGGAGGCATCAAAACACAAGCCGTAATGGGTAATGAATACATAAATATGTTTATAAATATACAGTATTGTTTTATTATCATCTATATTATTATAATTCCTACTATGAATTGCATTATAAAAATGTGTACGTGTAAATTTTAATACATTACATATATTTTTAAATTATAAATATGCAACCTACTATTTGAACATCATCGCTTCTACTCTATAATATTAATTAAAATAATTATAAATTATCGGAATCAAATGTAAATATGAATTTCTATGTTTATAATATCATCAATGGCTAAATGCGTTTTCATATACTCATTTATATCACTATGATATAAATATTTGCACACATTCTATAGGCACGTGATTTATGATCTTATAAGTGTATATAACATCCTGCATCTGCATGAGCATGGTAAGAGCCCCATAGTTTCTCCCAGCCTGGGCCGTGATGCCTGAAGGGCTGGGGCAGCAGCTCCACTCGGCCCAACAGCACTTCAGCCAAGTGCCCATTTCCTAGGCTCTGCTGCTGGTCCATGGCCTGATAGACGTTTCCTCACTCCAGCCGCAGCTAGGCCAGTAGGGAGGACAGCCTGGCCCTGGCACCTGTCCCCACATCAGCCCACTTGCTCACCCCCTCCACTGCCCTGGGGACCTTCCAGGCCTAGGGCTGGTGGTTCCTGATGACTTGGATCATGAATCCGGATCCAGACCCTGAGAGCTGTTTGGGCTGAAGACACAGCCTCCAAGTTCTAGAGTCCCGTTTCCTGTTGTCACTGCACAAACTCTCCAGAGAGAAGCCACTTAGAAAACAGCACTTGTTTGCTCCCAAGCCTGGAGCCCAGGGGAGCTCAGTGAGGCGGCCGCTCCCCAGCTATTGCCTGGGTGGGTTGCTGGGGTCTGGAGGAAGGAGGTGACTGCTCTCACCTGTCAGACGCCTCGTCTGAGGTGGCGGGACAATGGAGGTTGCTGTCCTTCCCTCTCTCCACGGGGCCTTGTACCTTCGCAGGCTAGCCCAGAGTTCCCAGGTGAGCCCATGCCTCTGTTCGGCTCTAGGCTTGGGACTGGATGCTGTCAGGCCTCTCAAGTGGCATTTCATCCTTCAAGTCACCAAGCCAGCCAGCTCAGGGAGACGGGAAATGTGTGCAGGAGGAAGTGTTTGGAACCCTTGGTATAAGAAAGGAGAGAATGAGAGACTGGAGATTTAGCTCAGGGGCACTGCGCCTGCCTGGAAAAGTCCTGTGTTATACTGGCGGGGGGGAGAAAGAAAGAAAGAGAGAGAGAGGAAAAGAATGAGAGAAAGAATTCATAGAATTATAATGTCTGTGGCAGAAAATAGTCTAGAATATGATGTATCTGTTAACTTTATTATTATGACAAAATACCTAAGATAATTAAGTTATAAAGAGGAAAGATTTGTTGTGGCTCTAGCTTCAGAGGGTTCAGTCCATGGTTGGTGGCTGTGTTCCTTTTGGGTCTATGGTGAGGCAAAGCATCTGGTGGGGAACGTGGTAGAGAAAATTGCTTGCCTCAGGCAGCTAGGAAGCAGAGAGAGAAGGAGGGATGAGGCCCCACAATCCCTTTTGAGGATTTCCTCTCACCCAGTGACTAAAGACCTCCTACCAATACTCTTCTTTTAAAGGTTCACCTTCCCAAAGTACAAAGCTGGGACCAAGCCTTTAGCACATGGCCCTTGGGGACTTTCCAGGTCCAAACTCTAACACTGAGCTCTCGAAAGGCCTTGTTTGGAACTCAAGATGAAGCAAATCTTGGAAAGGTTGCCTAATGCCTATGATCCTTGATCTGGTCAGCCTCAGAGGTTCTGTGGACTCCTTGAAACTGCGTGCAGTATGGCTGGAGTGCTCCTTACCCTCCCTGAGTGAGACGGGGGAACTGTAGCATTAAGCAGGCCCTCAGAGGAGGCTAAAATCCAATGAAGGTGAAAGCTGCAACCTCATTATGGACAGAACTGCACCCCTGTGTGCTCAGTTGCCCTCAGAAATAAGCACCAGCCCATGATTCTTCAGAAATAGCAGAGCCACCCAGCCCATACAAACCTGCTTTATTGTGCTTCATTTTTAAGGACACCTGTGCGGTTTCTTTAAGAAGATACTTCCAATTTTAAAGTAAAGATCAAATATTCAGATTTAAAATGCTCTCAGAAACATCTTCAAGACAGAAGCAACCACCAGGCAGGATCCGGGGTGTTGGGATGTGCAGACAGAAGATGGGGTGACCCCAGACCAGAGCGTCCCAGCCAGACCATTACAGGGAATCAATTGCTTCCAGCTGACAGAACTTCTGAACTCTCCACCAAGCTTCTGATGCTGGATCTAATTTGTCTTTATTTCCCCACAGCCATGGAACAAGATGTGCAGGAGAAGTTTCGGCAGCGGCCAACAACAATATCTGCGGGGTTGGGGTGGCGTACAACTCCAAGGTCGCAGGTAAGATGGCCCTGCCCCACCACCACAGAGTGGGGAAAATGTTTAATTTTAACTTGCACAGCAGTATCAAGGCACTTACCTTTTAAAATTCAACCATAAGATAAATACAGTAACATGCACAGATCATGAGCACATCGCCCAGTGGATTTTCACAAATGCGGCACTCATGTTGCCAACCAGAATGAAATCTGACCGGACCCCCAAGCCCTCCGCGCCCTGCAATTACTACCCACTCACTCACTAGCAACAATATTATTTTCTAATAGCAAAAACCATACCATGTTTGAACTTTGTATAAATGGACTTACTTACACAGTCATTCCTCTTCTATGTCAACATCGATGGCACTTTAATATGACTCAAATGGAGACCTTAGAATATAATATGTATATAATGATTTGTAAAGATACTCAGAACCATCATCTTCAGGGAGACCGGCTCTACCAAGAACTTCTTCCAAAGTTTCACTGTGCCAGATATTAATGATTTCCTATTTACAGGGCCTTTAGAAATTTAGAAATAGGAGTGGTATGTCCCTGGAAAGACAGAGACAGAGACAGAGAGACAGTGAGAGAGAGAGATTCATAAGCTTTCCACAAGATGCCTAAGAATGGACTGATGCCTGGCTTGTTCCAAGTTTTGCATCAAATTGGTTCCTAATTTATTCAGGCTGAGTCACCCAACCTTGTTTTTCTTTCTTTTTCCTTCTTTTTTTTTTTTTTTAAACAACTGTCTTGATTTTTTTCCCCCAGCAATTTAACTGAAACATAAACCTACTTTGCGCTGACACTCGAGTTTCAAGGGCCTAAATAAAGCCAGCGTACCCTGTACCAGCCCAGTGTGAACAGCTTTCATTACAGTTTGTGAGAGGCTGGCCTGAGCTAGGTACAGAATGTCACAAAAAAAAAAAAAAAAAAAAAAAAATCCCTCTGAGGGTCTGAAATGTAAACAGAGGAGCCTTTGTCCCTGGGGCCTCAGCTCTTTTTACTTTGTGGGTGTGGAAAATGTGGCATGAGAAGGGCAGCTGCTGCACTCAGGGAAGGACACCACTTAGCTAATGGTTAGTACAGTATTTTACAAGCCGAGCTCACCCCCGGGTGGTGTCTGGGGCCAGGCAGCCTCTCAACGCACAGGGCAGGACCAGAGGCCACGGGATAATTCAAACCCGTATTTTTCATTCTTCCCCCCCCCCACCCACACACACCGGAGATTGAACGCGGGCCCTTGCACTGGCAAGGCAGGCAGCGAAACCACAGAGCTAAATCCCCGGCCCGTATTTTTCATTATGATTGTCTCCAAAATAATGTTGAGGGCTCTGCACACCGGAAGTATCTGGCTTTTCAGTACCAAGACACCCATAGAAGGGCAGCCTGCAAGAGGGAAAGAGTCCCGGGAAGCTCCTAGCTTTCCCGAAGCACATTTCCCCCTGGCTTTGTGTCTCTTTTTCTCTTCTCTCTTATTATGTCCACTCCGGATACAACTGGGCTGCCCATCAAATGGGCTAATTACCCAGCAGAGCGTAGGCTGATCTTCCCGTCCACCCAGGAGAAGCCCGCATCCTCCAGCATCCTTTCCACACCCCAGGGTCAAAATGAATCCTACCTGAAGCTCTGGAGCAGTTGCTCAAGAATTACAAACAAAACCAGAGGTCCAGGCCCCTCGACCTTACAGGGGATGTTTTACTCACTCTGGCTGACAAGTGTAGGAGTTGGCTGGCTCTTAATTATTTGCTAAAAATGAGCCAAACTTTTGGAAGAATCTTCGTTTCAGGAGCTTTCTGAAGTAGGGAGGGCTCGCGCGTCCCCTAGTGGCCAAATGAGATCATTGCTCGGTCTTCCCCCCCCACCCCGACCCCCCGCAGCAACGTAGAAGTCCAAGAGACCAGTGAATCGGTGTTCCCAGAGGCGTGTCCCTGCGACTTCTGGCGCCACCTTCGCTGTGGATGAACTTCCCAAACACACATGTATTCAGGTCTGACTAAAGCCCTGTTAGCATAAAACCTCCTAGCAGACATAAAGCATAGCCAATGCTTTCCATCTGGATTTTCCCCTGTGCTATTCCTCTGCCCAGAACACTGTCCGCCTGGCACCTCCCCTCCTCCTTCAGCTCCCAGAAACCCTGCTGCTTCCTCCAACATCACCTCTCCTCAAGTTTCCTCCTCTACGCTAGATAAAAGCACCTTGATTATTGTTCATTGTGTTAGTCCAGGGTCTCCAGAGAGAAGTGGTAAAGATAGCGGCCGGCCAAGGTAACACACTCCAGTAATCGCAGCACACCAAGAGACTGAGGCAGGAGGGTTGAAAGTTTGAGCACAGCCTGGGTAACTTACTCACTCAGAGAGACCCTGTCACAAAATTTAAATTTTTTAAAAGGGGACTAGGATATATAGCTAGTGCAAAGGCCCTGAGTCAGCAAGGGATTTAGCTCAGTGATGCAACCACCGACCTTGCAAGCTCAAGGTCCTGAGTTGATGCCCGATACCAGAAAAAAAAGGGGGGGCCCTGATGGATCCTTAGTACTTATAAAAAGATAGATGATAGATAGAATACATAAACACATGCATACATTCATTCGTACATACATACATTATAGATGACAGTAAGTAGACAGGAATTTGGGGCTTATGTGGTCACGGAGAGGGCCTCCTCACAACAGTCCACCTGCAGCTGGAGACCCTGGGATGCAGGTCTGGGACCCAAAGGCTGCCAGACGAAGTCCTACTGTCCTAAAGCCGCAGGCCCAGAGTTCTGGTGTCCAAAGGCAGGGTACAGGAGTGTACCCTAGCTCCAGGAGAGAGCACCCCAGCTGCCTTCCCTCTGGTTTTGCTTCCCTGGCTGATGACTGGATAAGGACAGTGCTCCCCACTTTGCCCTCACAGGACACCCCCAGAGCTGTGCTTTCCCAGGGCTCCAGTCGAGCAGATCCCATAATGCACCAGCCCATGCGTGGCTCCAGAACCCCGATCTCTGTGCCCCAGCAGACAGCAACCTTCACCAGGCAGGACCAGGTCCCCCCAAGTCAGGGTTGGGCTCGCCGTGGACCCCCAAGCATGGCTGCTAAACTCATGACAGTAAAGAAGGACAAAGGAGGCCCACGGATGAGCCCTGATGCCAGCAGGGTGGCTTGTGGGGACAGGTGGGCCTGTGACATCCAGGAATGAATCATCCAAGGCCCCAAAGCCAATAGCATCTCAGCCCAAAGACCAAAAGACCTCCTCCTCCTCCCAACACCACTCACCTCTGCTGCTTTTTCAGACCCCGACCTCAGGTGTCCTCCAGGTTAAAATAGCGTGTGACTTCCCAGGCTGACCTATCGGCATCTCAAGGTCTTCCAAAAAGGACTCTATAAAGATCCTTTGGTGCAAATGCCCACTGATACTTTCATAGTGAGAACAACTGCGACAAATGAGGATGGTGAGAATTAGCTCCTACTTCCTGGAAATGATGGTGACTGCCAGGCCCCAGGCAAAACCCTGCTCTTGCCACACTCTTTACCATCCTATCATGCTTATTATGTGCTCTAGGTGCCATATTGTTATATATTACTATCCTGCTTTTACAGGGAACAAAACTAAAAAATGGAAGCCACACACTAGTGAATTGTGGAATAATCTTGCATCTGGTGTGGATCCTCTAAAAGCTCTTTCCCAAATCAGTGCAGAGACTCTTAAATAAATAAAAGTAGACATTCCATTTGACCCAGCTACCCCCTCCTAGGCCTCTTTCCAAAGGAGTTAAGGTCATCATATTACAGGGATACATGCATACCCATGTTTGTGGCAGCATGGTTTATAATAGCTGTGGCTTGGAAACTGTACATGTCCATCAACAGATAAGTGGATGAGGAAAATGTGGTATTTATACACAATGGAATACTGTGCTGTAGGGGCTGGGGATTTAGCTCAGTGGTTCTGCTGCCTGCCTCACAAAAGTGCAAGGGCCTGAGTTTGATCCCTGGTACCAAAAAAAAAAAAGATTTTTGCAAAAAGTTTGAAAACCACATTGTTGATCACTACCAAACTACCTTGTAATTTCTCTACCAGAAAAGAATTGCTTTCATATATGATCGTCATTACTATAGGCTAATAAATCTCCAGATGTTTGAGTGAATTTACACATATTTTATCTGAGTGAGATTACATAAGCCAGTAACAATCACCATGAGCACAGTGATTAATGCGTTTGCAGATCCTAAACCCTGGCTGAGCAGGAACTTTTCCTGAGCCACCAGGGAAGACATTCAGTAGCCTAAAGACAGCAGGAATCAGCACTGAGGTTTGAGGACAAGAGGGCATTGCTGGGAACTTGCAATGGCACCCTCGGGACAGGCAGGGCAGAACGGCTTCCGTTCTACCTGCCAGTCCAGCAGCCCTCAGGGCACCAGTGCCTACCAGGATACAAGCTCAGCAGGGAGACAGGTGAGGCCTCTGAAGAAACAGGAGGAATCCAGATGTGGTAGTGCACACCTGCAACCCCAGCACTCAGAAGGCTGAGGCAGGAGGATCACCTCACATTCAAAGCCAGCCTGAACTGCATAGTAAGATCTTGTCTCAAAAAAACCAAACAAAAAAATAAAAAGAAGGGAGGGAGGGAGGGAGATAGAGAGAGAAGCAAATGAAGGGTGGAAGGAAGGGGAGTGGGACACAGAGCCACTCTGGCCCTTAACCTGGTACACAGGTCCGCCTGGGGCTGGAGTCTGGACCCAGTGTGCTGCCCGGCTCTGTCCCTGCCCACTGAGTCCCCAAAGCCAGGAGAGAAGCTAAGAGGTAGCCTCCTAAATCTTCAGGTGCTTCTCCCCCTGTCTCCCTGCCCCACCGTTCCTAGAGAACCCCGGGGCAGAAGAGAGGCTCTCATGTCCTCTGCTGCTGAATTAATACTATCTCCTTCGATGAATGACTACCCCTTCCTCCCAAGCCTAACACAATTAAGAAATGTCAGACACCTGGCCCCAGAACACCCAGGAGCCTGGTTCCTATGCTACGGCCTCCTGGCCTCCCTTCCTGCTAACAGGGTCAGCAAATTAATCTGTGTTCTTGTGTGTACAAGGAGCCTGCAGGGGTGGAGAGGGGAAGAGGTGCAGGGACGGGGATGCAAAGAGAAAGAGAGGACCCAGCCGTTGGATGGGCCATGCTGCCTCTGACAAAATCCTGGGTGGCCACTGGCTGCCTGGTGCTGGTGGGACAATCAAGACCTTCTTTAAGGCTGCGGATTTAGCTCAGTGACACCTCACCTGCCTGCAAGCACAAGGTCCTGAGTTTGATATCCAGGATATTCAGTACCAAAAAAATAAAAAAGAAGAGTCATTTAGGTCAGGGTTGAATTTGTCCAGATGAACTTGCCAGTCCTGCTCATCTGGGCACTAGACAAGTTCAGGAGCATCCACCGAGGCTTCTCCTTGCAGGCCGACAGTGCTGTGTTTGTTTCACACCCACAAAGCAGGCATAATTTCACGGGAAACTGGTGCTGTTCGGTTTATCCTGTGCATGTTGTGGCCACCGTTGTGGAATACTTTTTTTTTTTTTAAACAAAGTCTTACTTCAGGTTCACCTTAAATTCACAGAGAAACTTCCGCCCCCATCTGAGGAGTGCTGGAATTACAGACATGCACTTCCATACCCAGCTGTTGGATACATTTTTAAATAAATAAAATAGAGATGCACTCAAAGCAAACTGTAGTTTTAAGATTCCCGTCTCCTCATAAAATGAACCATAGAAAAACTGGCTTTCAACTTGCCAAAGATTAAAACTAGATTCCTGTCTTTCACCATGCACTAAACTAAAATCCAAGTGGATTAAATATCAAAACAGAAACTAAACTTACTGGAAAGTAAATTAGGTAGGACTCTCAAAGACATTGATTGGCACAGGAAAAGATTTTATGAACAAATCCTCAGCAGCTCGAGAACTAGCACAAAGAATCAACAATTGGGATCTCATCTTATTAAAAAGCTTTTGCACTGCAATAGAAGCCATCAACAGAGCTAAGAGACAACCTACAATTTGGGGAAAAAAAGTTTAACATCTACTCCTCAAAGGACTACTATCTAGAATATATAAAGAACTCAAGAAAATGAGACCCCTCTCAAATACAAAGACTCGATTCAAAAATGGGCATCTGAAATGAATAGACATTTCTCCGACAAAGAAGTAAAAGCAGCAAGTAAATATACGAAAAAATGCTCCACAACACTGGTCATTCAAGAGATGCAGATGAAAACAACACTTAAGATTCTACCTCACCCCACAAAGAATGGCTGCTTCAAGAAATCAACCAATACCAAATGTTGGCAGGGCTATGGGGAGAAAGGAACCCTTCTCCATTGCTGGTGGGAGTGCAGACTGGTACAACCACTGTGGAAATCAATATGGAGATACCTCAAAGAACTAGGATTAGAGGTCCCACTTGACCTAGCTATCCCTCTGCTGGATATCTTTCCAAAAGAATTAAAAGAATGATACACAGTGATATACGTGCACCCATGTTTACAGCGGCACAGTTTGTAATAGCTAAAACTTGGAAACAACCCAAATGCCCATCAACTGGAGACTGGATAAAGAAGATGTGGTTTTCCTATAAAATGGAATACTACTCAGCCATAAAGAATGAGAAACTAGAGACATTTATAGTTAAATGGATGCACATTGAGACTATACTCTTAAGTGAAATAAATAGGAAACACTTGAGTAAATACTGAATAGTTTCTCTGGTGTGACAAACTAAAAGTGTAAATAAGGTTTAAATGGTGTAATTGATCGTGTGAAATAGGAAGAAAATGGCTAAAGGGAAAGTGGGAAGGGAAAGGGAAAGGAAATAAGGGAAAAGGAAAAAATGGAAACAAAGTCTTTGTAAATAGGGAAGGGTGAAAGGGGTGAAGGGAGGGCAGGGACAAGGGGAAAAAATGAGAACCAAGACCTGTCATGTAAAGGTACAAGATCCCAATAATGAATGTAATTGTACTGTGTACCTAAAATTTACCAATAAACTCAATTTAAAAAATAAGAACCAAGACATATCATGTAAAGATCCCAATGATAAATTTAATTGTATTGTGTACTTTAAATGTACCAATAAACTTAATGGGAAAAAATAAAATGAATCATAAAATGTAGCTTCCCAAAATTCAAACCAAAGACCAGGCTTGTTCCAGATAAGCTTCTTCCAAGAATAGAAGATGTGAATTTATAATTGAATGCTTATTGGCAAAAATAGTGACCTGCTGGGGATTTAGCTCAGTGGTGCTGCCTTCTGCCTTGCAAGTGCAAGGTCCTGAGTTCAATTCCTGGTACCAAAAAATAAAAGATTGGTGACCAGAATTGTGGGTTCATGGTAGAGTAAGGACAATCTGGATCTACTATTTCTGTTGGGGAGAAACTCAACTCAATTAAATATTAACTCCACATAAGTACTCACCAAATATCTGTCAAGCTTAAGATAAATACCAAGCATCATGCTTGTCTCCAGGGACACATAATGGATAAAATAGATGCATCCCAGCATAAAAAGGCCTTGCTGCCTGCTCTTGTATAAAACATTTAAATGTGCAACTGATGGCGCATGGATGGAAACTGCAGCCTGAGCACAGAGGTGGGCTGGCAGTCGCTAGGGTGGACAGGGAGCCCGCCCAGGCTCCTAAAGTCTAAACATAGTGGCCCGTGAAAAAGAGAGAAATTTCATGTCAATGCTCCATGCCCTGGAGAACCTGGGAAGTCCTTATTCCAACCGATCTGCATGGCATGCTCCAGTGGTGCCTGAGTAAGAATGTCCTGGAGTGACTGTCCCTTGATCACAGGGAACAAGGAAGGAGTGTCAGCACTCAAATTTCAGCTGTGCATGGTTATTGTGATTCTTTCTACTTCCTGACCATCATGAGGTGAGCAGCTGTCCTCCACCATGCCCCCGTCCCTGCCTCCCAGCCTTGCAGCCAGCCAACCATGGACTAAAGCTCTACAAACTGTGAGCCAAATTAAGCTCTCTTCCTTTAAATTATAGGTGTTGGGGATTGTGTCCCAGTAACAATGAAAGAGACTAAGACAATGGTCAAGCCCCTTCATTTCATAGTCCCTGCACTAGAGTCCATGGTCTGCGGCTATAACAAAACACCCAAAACTGGGTAACGTATAAAGAGAAGAGATTCATTTAGCTCATGGTTTTGAAGGATGGAAGGCCAAGACTGGATGGCCCCATCACTTTGCCTCTAGTGAGGACCTTGTGGCAGGTGGCAGCATGGCATGTCCACAGGAGGACAATGACACGGTGAGGCCAGAAGCCAGGAGCAGGAAGGCCTAGACTTGCTCTTTTCTAACAACTCACTCTCTTGGGAATCAATGGGTGTCCCCTGAGAATGGCATCAGTGACCCCGTAACAGTGCTTCTTGTGCCCCAGTCACTTCCCAGCAGGCCCCACACCCCCACCCCGGTGACCAAGATCCCAGTACCTGAACCTTTAGGGGATGCCCTCAAGCCACAGCAGTCCTGTAGGCGACACTGCAGGCGGAGCTGCTACTTGGCCAGAAATCATCAGCAAAGGCTGCCCCGCTGGAACCTGGCCAGGGTGTAGGGGACAAAGTTTCCCTCAAGGATACTCAAAAGGACAGCCAAGAGTGGGAGCCATAAGAGTGTGGGGGACCCTCAGTGCAACTTTTCCTTTTCCAGCTCTAAGGTCTAAACCCAGGGAGTGACAAACCACATCCTCAACCCTTTTTATTCTACTTTGAGACAAGGTCTCACTAAGTTTCTCAGGTTGACCTCCAGTTTGCAGTCTTCCTACCTCAGCCTCCCAAGCAGCTGGGATTAGGAGCCTGTACCACCACACCCGCCCTGTGCATCTCCTTTCGTGTCCTGGGGCTCCATGGTGGCCTCCAGAGCATCCGAGGTCACCAACTCTCCAACCACACTGGGAGCCATGCTCTTCCCCATTGCCCATGTCTCCTGAGAACTGGATACCAAAGCCCTGTTCCCTCTGTCACACCTGTCCACAGGTATCCGGATGCTGGACCAGCCCTTCATGACCGATGTCATCGAAGCCTCCTCCATCAGCCACATGCCCCAGCTCATCGACATCTACAGTGCCAGCTGGGGCCCCACGGACAACGGAAAGACGGTGGATGGGCCCCGAGAGCTCACACTGCAGGCCATGGCCGATGGTGTGAACAAGGTAAAGCCATCCCCGCCACCCCTGGGCAGAGGGGCTGTAGGGAAAGGCAGGAGGGCGGCAGGGCCTGACTCTGTGCAGGAGCCAGCGGAGAAAGGAAGCAGTCTCAGCCCACAGGGGATGGGGACCTGGAGGCACAGCCAGGAGTAAGGCTGCAGTGTCCATTGGTGGGGCAGCTGAGCGGTGGGTTCCTGAGTTGACCCCAGGAGGGGCAGAGCCAAGGACAAGGGAAACAGGCAGAGCCTCTTTCCTGAGGTCCCACGGCAGAAGCCACCCCAGATGGACAGGGTCCCAGCTCAGGGACTGGGACATGCCTGGGATAGTGTCCCTGCTTCACCATCAGTGCCTGAGAAGTGTTTTGTTCCTTCTCTACTGACACCGAACCAACCATCCCAAACATCCCCAGCATGAAACTTGACTGTCACAGGCCTGTGGATGGCGTGGGTTGGAATTTGTACCAAGCCCCTGGAGGTGGATCATCTCAGCTCCACAAGTCATGGGCCCAAGGCGTTGTGTGACTCCTGACAGAGCATCAGTTCCCAAACTGTGCGTCTTCACAAGCTGTTTCAATGCCTGAATCCAAAGTATGCCCCACCCCCGAATTTTAACAACTACCACTAAAGTTTGCCAGGTGTCACTCTAAAGGACCTCTAGGATCCATATCTTGTCACCTGAGATACCAAGAGCCTGGGATAGGGCTTTTTCAACCCCACAGTGAAAAGAAAAAGACCTTTTCTGGGTGTGGCAGCCCTGTTACTACCTTGTTAGTGAATTGCTTGGTGACCCAGCCGTGCATTTGTTTGTGTCACAGAAATGGAGACCAGGTAGCTCCAGGAACGTTGTCTCTGGGGAAGATGGGGGAATGGGATGACCTGAGCAGGCCCTCAAGCAGCAGAGTGGTGGGGGGTCCCTGCCAGACACCAAAGTCCCAGGGCTGCCCTCCCATCTGCCTGGCTCCCTGAGGCTCTGTGCCTGCTCTCAGCCCAGTCCTCCTGTCTTGAGGCTTCTGTATTGGTGAAGTCCCCACCTGGTCACTCCTGTCCCCAATGCTTTCAGGGGATCTCTGGTCCCAAATAAGGGAACCCGTCTTCCCTCAAACTAGGCCTGTAAGCTAAGAAATTAGGTTCTCTTGGAAAGACTTTCAACCCTCATAGTAGAGTGCCTTCCACACTGTAGAATTCTTTCAAAAGCCTTAATGGAAAAGTAATACCTAATGCTTCCTTTCTGTTATGAGATCCAATTGTGTACCCGGGTATTCACCATGGAAGTCTTAGCCCTGGGTTCCTGAGACTGTAACCTCACTTGGAAAGAGGGTCACTGCAGCTGCGATTAGCTAAGTGAGGGCATTAGTGGAGTGTAACCCAATATGATTGCATTGTCAGCATCCTAACCCAGTGTGATCGGTACTCTCATTTTTAAAGAAAAAAAATGAAACAGGTCACAGAAGGCACACATGGAGAAGGCCATGTGGAGATGGAAATAGACGTTGCGTGAAACATGTGCCAGTCGAGGATGTGAACGATGTTGCCAAAGCTGAAGGAACTGTAGAACCAGCCCTGCTAGCACGCTGGTCTTCAACGCTGGCCCCTGAACCTCAAGACAGTTTATTCCTGGTGTTTATGCCACCAGGTTTGTGGCCCTGTATTATGGTGGCCCTAGAAAGCAAATACACCCTTTCCCTCTTAGGATTGCACATCAGGCTCGAGCACGGTGGAAACAAACTGGTCACTACTCAAGATCAACTGGGTATCACCAGGCTTTCTCCATTACAGCCAAGATGGTTGATCGATCATTGGTGCCAACTTTTCCCTCTCCTGTAGGGCCTTCCTTCATTTTTGACCTCGTTACCTCCAAGGAGTAGCATGCAGAAATCCCATGATGTAAACCTAGGAGAGAGGAATGTTCCCAAGGGACAAGGCCATGCTGGACATGGCTCCTGGTGACATCACACTGGCATCTTGGACTAGACACAGAAATTAGCAAACGACACAAATAAAAAAAGGGCTATGCTCCATCAGAGAGCTAGTTGTTAACTACTTTGCAGCACAGCTGCGGCTCCCCTTAACCCACAGCATTTGAATGTGCTCATGCCTCCTGCTGGTGAGCCACCCGGCCTTCCTGAGGCTGGAACTTTCCTGTGGAAAGGGGGAGGGAAAGCACTGGAAACCCCGATGCTTACATTTCCCCAAGTTTTCCATCCAGTTGTAAGTTACCTCAAGACAGTGGGGGAAACTTTCTAAGTGAGTGAGGGCCTTATGGTTTAGGAGAGTCGACACTCGTCCCTTCCATCAGTGGCCCCAGAAACATTCAGGAAAAGGCAGAGTCCTTGAAGGGAAAGGAGTCAGGTCTTCGGAGGAGCACTCGTGACTATGCGGGAACAGAGTCCACTTAGGAAAAAACATCACGGGGCTTTCTCCCAAGGCCACAACAAGCAGCCCATCCAAGCCAGCCTGGGATTGACACGCGGCAGTTTATGAAGGACGTCTACCAAGAATGCGGCAGGTGACAGGAGGTATTACTGCTGTGCGCCCCCTGATGCCCAGGCTCCTTAAGGAGCATGTAGGCTGGAACCTTTCACACACAGGCAGCTCAACCCCCTTGACTCACTGTTCTCTGTGTGTCTGCAGCCCAAGCACAGATCAAGTGACAGAGGTGCCCTCGGGAGCAGGTGGCAGATGCTTCTTTTCCCAGCAGCCATGGATTTTCACTGACAGGCATTTTTGTGTCACCTGAAGCCATAAGAGAGTCAGGCATTAGGTACTCTGCGCTCGGTCCACATTTACAGTGTAGAAGACGCCATGCAGAGCCTCCCTGCGTGGCTTCTATCAGTTTCCCGTCCACATGGCAAAGCCGGTGCTATATTCTTCTCTGCTCCATCCACAGCCTCCCTAAAATGTGCTTGTTCTTCAGAAGGTGCCAAGCACGCTGAAACAGGAGAAAAATTATTGTGACTTATCTTCCAATGATGGCCAGTAAATATTTTAGAGAGGAAAGTCCTCATGGTGAAAAAAATACATGAATTACCATTCGACTTTTCCCCAGGTTATGGGAATGAGTCTTTCCTTGCTTCAGAGTGACATTTTTCAGACAGTATTGTAGAATCTCGTCACTGACAGTGCGCCAATCGTTCAGCTGCTTCATCTGCACTGGATGTTGTCTCCACCTAAACAAAGGCATCTATGATGACGGCCCCTCCGAGGCAGCTCTTCTGTCTCCATCACTCTTAGCATCCTGGTCCCGTGTTTTATTTGACCAATAAGACAAAGAAAAGGAAGAGGAAAAAGAAGAGGGGAAGAGACCTTTACAGGGGACACACTGCTGGCCCAGACCCCAAGAGCCCCTGTTGCCTGGCCCTGCCTCACAGATAAGTATCACCTGCCTGGCTCCTTAGAGATCTGAGTTCCAGTCTCCTAGGGTTGCTCAATAAATGCGTGGAGGATGCACAAAGGAGCAAGCAGGAGAGAAGGAAAGAAGGAACTTTTTTTCCTTTCACTCACGGCGGTCTTTTCCTCTTTAACTGTGTGGTCTATGTGTTGGGTCTCCTGCTAGATCATCGTTCACATTAGAGATGGGAAGTGAGGGACAGACTCGTGGCAGGTCACACAGCCCCGTGGTTCACTCCCATCTCACTTTGGGGTCTCCCAGAAACAGGCTGCAGCAAGGGTGCCAGATAAAAACTATTGGTGGAGGTTTGTTTCCTAGGGTATGAGGCAGCCCACACGTGCTGGGAAGAAGCCCCAAAACACAGAGATGAGTGCGCTGAGATTCAGAGATGGCGCAAAAAGGTCTGAGGTCCAAGGCACATGGCTGATACCCACTGCCTTCTACCAAAACTGCTCCGGTGCAGTTTGAGCAAAACCCAATCAGCGACTTGGAGTCACCCCTCTTGGGGGTGAATGAAACACCAGTGAGGTGGTTTACTATCGGGGGAAAGGATGTGACCCTTGCAAAGAGACTAATGGGACAAAGACAAGCCACTGTGGGGCCCAGTAGCTATTTCACAGCTTCTTGCTTTGCTCGGACAGCGCTGGAGGACATTAGAGGTGACAAGTGACTCAAAGTGCCCTCACATCCTCAGAAAGCACAGTGACCCTGATGGCTCTGATGTTGACCTCCCGATCCCCAATCCCTCATCTTTCAGGGTCTCTACTACTGAGAAAAACTTAGGAATTAAGTCACGGCTACAGGAAACCCTCTGAGGTGCAGACAGGAGTGAACACAAGTTGTTTGTTCGCCAGGAGGAGATGTGGTTGCAAAGGGACACAAGCACACACCCCTGGTCCCTGGTTGGGAATGTGTAGGGAAGAGGCCATTTGTAAGAGAGGAACCCTGAAAGCCACCATCCAGGAAGGAGGGGCTCCGGACTGCCAGCAGAGACAGTGATTAATCAGGCCCAGGCTAGGCAAGGCCCCAGTGCCACCTGCTAAGATTTAATCACCGAATGGGTCAGACACAGGGGCAGCAGCACCAGGGCCTCTAGCTGGTGATGAAGGCCTCCTGCCAGGGAACGCACAGGGACATTTGTGAGCCCTGATTTATGCCCTGCAGCCAGATAGAGGCTGCCACAGTGTGGGGCCTGCAGCTCAGCCACGGAGACAGCTACTGGAGGTTCAGTTCCACCTTTCATTTCTGTTGTAAAGAAAGATGGAAGAAAAGGCTTCAGGTGACCTTCCTGAGAGTTGGCCACCCTTAACTGCCCAGGGTAGAATCCAACAGTGTCAAACTTTTCTCGTTGCTTCCTTCCATTAGTAATATGCATTGAAAGTTCCTCCGTGTCTTTTCATGGTTTGATAGATCATTTCTCCATAACACAGAACATTACTCCATCATCTCTGTGTACCATTCGCCTACAAGGGCTTCCTGGTCGCTTCCAGTTTCTGGCAATCATGAGTGAGGCAGTGCAAAACAGCCCCTATATGAGACATGATCGAAAGCCCTGGTTGTGGGTCTTGATCTCCCATGAGACAATGCCATGTCTGTGGAACAGGAAAGAGAGAGAGAACAAAAGACACAGAGACAGAGAGTTAAGTAAAGCTGGGTCATGTGCCAATCTGAGCTGCTCTGGGCAGCAAAGATGAAAACGTGAAGGATACCCAGTGTTTATTCATTACAAGTGTGGGAAAGAAAGAAGCTGGGCAGGCCTCAGACACCTGATGATAGTATTGCAAGCAGGGGCACTAACACATCTTTTGCAGAAGAGAACAAATGGTTAATTCAGAGGAGAAAAATTTAGTTAGAGTCAGTTGACCCTGGCCGGAAGTGGACTAAACTGAGCCCTGCTACTTCACAGACTAGGACTTACTGTCAGTAGCAGCCACTAGCAAAGCAGCAATACTAGCTCGCCTCAACATAAGAATTATTAAATCCTATCCAATGGACTGATAGTGAAATTTTGTACATTTCTGATGAAAATATAAACTCTAACCATTTTGTGTAGGGAAACTTCTATTGGCAATTGCGGATCCAGAATCTTGCAACAGTCATCCTTTTTCCTCCAAAATTCCCTGTTTTGGAAGTTCTGCCTAAGGAGATAAATAGAGATGAAAAGACATTTATAAAATTTGTTCCTTTTTAACATAGAGCAGATTTAAAAACCAGAAACAACCTTCCACTTCCACCTAGAATAAATTCTCTCTTGATTGGAGTAAGTGCTTCAGTGCTGAAATCAAAGTTCCCCATCTCCCAAGGCCGTGTGACCATTAGATAACAATGTGTACTCAGTAATCGATCATGATACGTGGTTTTTCTTAATGCTGCTCTTTCTCATCTTTACATATCATACTGTTGAGCCGTCTCATCTTTGTATAACATTACTGTTCCTCTGTGCTAATTTGGCTTTTCTGTTTCTTTCACTTCCCCTTGTAGTAACAGTCTGTCCCTAATTCCTGAGAGATGACGGAATCGTAAAGACTTTTATCGTGCATCGCCATTGTGAAATGCTTTGTCTTTCCTATTTACTTTGTTGTTTTCTTTTTTTGGTTATGTTTTGAAATACGGTCATAGTTTGTTTTATCAAAATGCAAAGAAAAGGAGGAAACAAATTATGGAATGTCTACTTGATAAAACTAAAAAAAGACAACTATGATGCAGAAAAGTATTAACAACATGAGAAAATGTTAATTACCTAACAGTGAGTGAGAAACACATTTTAAGCAGGTCAAGTGAAGTGAATATAGTTTATGACCCTAAATTCATTTTTAAGCCTGTTCTTATCCTTTGCATTTATATATAAGGCTGGCACAAGTCCACAAAAAAGCACTAGAGATCATTTATGCATGGAAGGGTAAAAGGATTTTTATTTTCTTCTTCATAGTCTCTATGTGCCAGTTATTTTGCAATGTCTATGATTTTCATAATAAAGAATAGAATAACTTTTTTTAAAGAACGTCAATGTTGTAGTAAGATGCCTAAGTGGCCAGAAAATAAAAGTTAGTGTCACTGAGTGTTTAGGAAAAGGAAGCTGTCACAGGCTTCCCACGAGGCATGTGCTCACCAGGACCCCTGGACTACAGGGCCTGCTCTGGGTCTTTAACTGGGTCACCACTCCTGGTTAATGGGGAAGGACTAACTCCCTGAGGTGGAAGCAATGTGCTGGGGGTGCAGAGAATCCCAGGACTGGACTCAAGCTGGAACTTCACCTCAGCTCGTGGTGAATGATTTGTAACATGATTTTCTATAAAAAGCAAAATACACAATCTGCATGCATTTTTAAGTTCTGGGTTTGTAAGAGCTGTTTTCAGATTACACCCAGCTGAAGGCTGGGCACAGCTGGCACTGACAGGGGTGTTCTCTGTTGGGAGAGGATACTTGTAGGCACTGCAAAGGGATAGCAGCATCCCTGGCCTCTACCCACTAGATTCTGGTCACATTTTGGTGATGGCCAAAATTATCTTCCTTTGAACAAAATTCACCCCAGTTGAGATTCATAGCTGTCAGATACCATCCACATACATGTGCAAGGCCCTGGGGTTGATCCTCAAAACTGCAAAAGAAAAAAAAAAGGCAGGAGAAAAATAAAGGAGAAAGAAAATCTGGACATGAGCAGCATGGCTGTCAGACAGCCCCCAAGCCCAGCTCCCTCCCTGGCCCCCGGCTGGCCACCACTCCACGCACTCAGAGTGTCCCTGATCTCCGGGCCACCTCCCATGTCCCCTGTGGATTTGTGAATCTTCTTCACCACTTGCTCCTAGATAAATCCCCATTGTCCCACTGCCCAGTGTGGCGACATTGGCCTGACTGACTCACAACTGATGCATGCATTGGGATCGTGTTGAATTTATCAGTCGATACAGAGGAAATGGACGTGTCTGGAATGCTGTCTTCCCACAGTAGCAGGTGGCCTTTCTGTGAGATCAAGTCTTCCTCTGGGTCCCTCTGCACAGTTTCCAGATCTCAGTAGCACTTAGTTTGGGGGAGTCCTGTTTATTTGGTTTTGTTTTCTGAAGTGCAGATTTTCTTCCTGTTTCTTCCTTTGTGGGGCTACTGTAAATGGCAGTGCGATGAGGACTGAATTAGGGAACGTGCAATGCCATAAGTGCCCGAAGTGTGCCAAGACCATCGTTCTTAGTTCCACCCACTGTCCTCCAACTGAGCGCCCTTTGTGCGTGGGTCACAGACATTCTATCGAGGTTTCCGCCCTGCTCCTGCTTGGGTGATGATAGGACACAGCTGGATGCAAGGGCATTATTTTAACAGGAACATGTGGTGCAAGAGGACGAGCCCCACCCCAGTAAGCTCATGTGTCTCTCAGAGCCCCTGCCCCACTCATCTCTACCCCTGACTAGAGTTTTCTCTTACTGGCCCTTCCTCCCAAAAGGTTAAGGACCACTGAGTGCTGAAACCCAGTCGTTATAATTATCGCTTCGTGTGTTCTGTTGGGACAATGGAGCCTAATATCCCTGGGAACATAGCATTCAGTGGGCACAAAACTCTCAGGAGGCAGCTGACAGTTGCTATCTGTGTATTAGTGAGCCAGGCTGTGTAACAAACTGCCCCCAAAATTCTGCAGCTTAAAAGAAACACCATTTACTTTTGCTCACCAGTCCACCAGTCACCTGGGTTGTTCTGCTGATCTGAGTGCAGCTGAGTGTTCTACCTGGCCTGAGCGCAGCTGGCCTCATGGGCATATACGTGATAAGCTGGAGGGGGCAGTAGATGCTGGCTGGTTGAGGACAACTCCTGCTTGGCTCTGGCAGCCAGCAGCTGGCAGCCAGGGCAGCACATTAGACTGGATTATGTGTCTAGCATCAGCCAGATGGGCACCTCAGACTTGCTGTTATGGTGCAGCAGCCTCTGAGACAGTGGAGTGGACAGGTTTCTCAAGACTTGGGCTTAAGGTAATGCATGGTCACTTCCCACCACACCAACTGTGGGGGTGATGTTTTCACTCTGTCCTGGGCTCTCATGGTAGTTGCTAGTGCCAGAGCTTTTCAGTCGTGTAGATTTACCAGGAAGCTGAGGACCTCCCCCAGCTGGTGCTTAGGTAAACACTTGTTGATTTATCGACTCCATCGATCACAAGCTAATTGATTTCCAGTCTTGTTAGCAGCAATCGCAGATGTCGCTTCTTGGTGTCAGAGGCAGGAGGACCTCAGGGTTGTCTCCACCACACACCACTCGATGGGACCATGGGCCAGGTGGCCCAGGCAGGGACAAACTCTCCCTGCCGTTGTCCTCTTGTGTCTGCAGGCTCCTGAGGAGGTGATGTTGCAGCTGCTCCCCTCTCCATACACCCCGCACCCTGAGCCCCACTGCCTCCAGGGTAGGAGAGGAGGAGGCCTGAGGCAGATGGCCCTTTCCTTATTCTTGCTGTAGACAGGAGAGGGCTCCCTCAAGACAGGGAAAGGAAAATGGAGGAACGAGGTGACACATGGTCGGTGCTAAGCATGGGTGTTTAGGGTAAAGCTTGCTGCCCGGAACTGGGCACCATGCAGTGAGAATCACCACGCACATCACTAACACCTGAGCTATTGTCCACACTACTTGATCATGTTACGCTTTCTTCCTACATTTGGGGCTCCTTGCCCTGGGGAAACGTCATATAACACTCTATCTGCCAGAAATCTAGAGTGACCCAACTGGACAAAAAGAAAAACTATGCATCTATACACACTTATAAGTAAGATTTCATATATTTTTACTTATGTTTATATATTTGTTCACATATTTAGGGCAAAAATGTATACTTCATCTTCACAATATCTACATATACATGTAAACATGTGCATCTCTTTTATAGATAACTATAATTATATATATACTTACATTTTTGCTGAAATGATGTATAAGAATGGGATCATCATAATTAGTTATTAAATAATAAACCCTAGATTTATCTTTCGTTTTCCTTTCATATACTTTGATTTTCTTTACCATAAGCATGTGCTACTCTACAGCCTTTTTTTTAAAAATGGCTCATTTGTAAATTTTAAGGAGATTCTTTCAGTTTTTCTTACCTCGTTATTCACAGCTAAAATTGTAAACCCAGGTGATTTTTATGTTGGATCCACTCTGAGAAACAGTTACCCACCGTGCCCCCGTGAAAGAGGTGTGATTTCTCATTGGGATAAAAAGCAAATCCAGCCATTTCAGTTCAGTTGCTGAAGCCCAGACCGTGAGCCCCCAGCCCCCGCTGGTGCAGGATCCCCTCCCTCGGCATCACCCGGGCTGGGACCCTGGCTGCCCTTCGCTGGCCTCAGCAGCAGCCTCTCCCTGCTGTCCAGGGCCGCGGGGGTAAGGGCAGCATCTACGTGTGGGCCTCCGGGGACGGCGGCAGCTCCGATGACTGCAACTGCGACGGCTACGCCTCGAGCATGTGGACCGTCTCCATCAACTCGGCCATCAATGACGGCAGGACGGCGCTGTACGACGAGAGCTGCTCCTCCACCTTGGCGTCCACCTTCAGCAACGGGCGCAAGAGGAACCCCGAGGCCGGTGTGGTGAGCGTGGGCTCCCTGTCCCCTTCCCTGGTGGCCAGGCCCTGCGTGGGGGGCGGTGTGCAGTTCCCTTCCCTTCCCTCACAGTTAGGCAGGCTCAGAGGACCCACCGTCCCCACGCCTGGTGACGCTGAGACCATTGGCGATGGACACCTGAGAGCGGAAGCAAGACCACCACCTTCTCTTCCCAGCTGACTTTCTGGAGCCTTTCTGGTGCATTGCTTGGGCTCACAAACAATAAGGAATCTGCTTTACCAGACAATCGCCCCCGCATGAGGCTTAGACTAAGTAGTTGTGTGAGTCGAGACATCACACCAGCACCCTCAGCCAAGCCCCGCCCACACAGTGTGCACAGATGAGCTTCTCCTCGTCCCCAGGACCCCTAAAACTGGACAAAGCTGTGAGAGTTGTGACTCTCTTTATGTTTTAAAATCCATTCGTGTTTTTTTTTTTAATGAAGAAGTTAAGAATCATAGACTTAGGTTATGATTCTATGATTTCCTAAGTAAAACATCTTCTCTGGGCAACTGGGTATCATGGGAGATTCCCATTCCCAAGTCACTTGTAAAGTGGATCATCTGGAGCTGTCACTCACCCTGTGGCTCTCCTCACAACTCCACTCCAGAGGAGGCTGAACAGCATCAGCCCACCTGGCCCTCTCCTCCTACCAAGGCAGGCAGGGAGAAGGGCAGGAAGGGGTCTGAGGGAGGCACCGTCCTCCTTTATGGACCTCAATCCTCCCACTAGAAGCCACTTCCTGCCTGACTGCTGGTGTCTCCGGCTCTATCAGTGGCTCTTTCTACTCCAGCTGGGGAGGAGCCTTGGACTTCTGAGTATTTCAGTTTTGCCCCATAGACACCTTAAACCTCCCTGACCCTTTGTTTCTCAAGTGATGGGCTCCAACAGAAGAGAAGGAGAATTCCTGTGGTTTAAGTTTGATCTTCATGAAGCCCCCAGGTCTTACAAACACTGAAAATGGACTTCTTCTCTTTGGAGTTCTAATGCAACAAATCTTACCATTGCCTTGATGAGGTGGAGGTAGTGACTTGTTACTTTCCACCTCATAGTATTTCCTTTTCAGATTCAGTAAGTAAATGTCTCTCATCTCTAGTCAAAGAATACATTTGTTTCTTTGAACAACTGAGCTACCTTTGGACACTATAATGATCATCGATTAAATGTCCCTTTTTGCATGGGCTGCTAGGAAGCTCAGACAAAAGAGCTAAGTATACAGATGTTAAACTTATCCTTAGTTTCATCTTAATCTTCTTCAGAACAAGGCATAGTTTAAATACAATAAGTAGATGATCCTCTGCTCCACACTGTTTGGGATTCAAGATAGTGTGATTTATTCACTTGTGATTTAATATCTTCCCTTCTAGGCCACCACAGATCTGTACGGCAACTGCACCCTGCGGCATTCTGGGACATCGGCAGCAGCTCCTGAAGCAGCTGGGGTTTTCGCACTGGCTTTGGAAGCCAAGTATGTGTACAGCTCAGCTTCCTGAAGGGTGGTGAGACATGTGCCTCTCTGCTCCACAGCAGTGGGATAGCCTAGGAGTCAGGGCCATGGACTATGCAGGACATTTCTAAATTGCCCATGGGCCCACCTCTCTCTCTCTCTCTCTCTCTCTCTCTCTCTCTCTCTCTCTCTCTCGCTCACACACACACACACACACACACACACACACCCCTTACAGCTACTTCCTCAGGAGACAGTACCTATTAGATACCAGGGGACGTGATTTCTCTGCAGTGGAGTCCACCCCTTACCCTCGTCCGTGTGCTCCTTGGCCCTCTATCCTCCAGGAATATTCACCCTCAAGAGAAGAAAAATCAAATCGCCTGACTGGGTATCTAGCAAGGTCTTTCAGAACATTTGGCAAACAGGATGTGCCTAGCCCAGATCTGTTCATTTGTGAGGTGAATTCACTTTCACCTTTCCCTTTGTATTTGTCCCCGGATTTTTTCAGTGCCTACTGGCTACACAGATAACAGACTGCATTTTAGCAGATGTGTATTTGCGCACAGCCTACTTTAAGCATTTCCCCTCCACCTCACCTTCTGCCTAGTTTCACGTAGTTGTTTGTGGGGGTCCTTGTGTATAACATTTTGATCATATCCATGCCCCCTAGTACCCACACTGCATTCTCTCCTTAACACTGCAATGAAGTGGAAGAAATCACACAATGTAGACCAAGAAGTGTGCTTTCCTGGGAAAGAGGAGGCTATTCTCTGGCTCTTGCCCTCATGGACAGGTGCCTTGGTTCCTGCCAGACATATAGAGAGGACCCTTGACTTATGAACTCAATTCGTTCCCGAGGGCTGGTTGTAACTCAAGTTGGTCAACTGAAGGCTCTGGCTCCTCTACACAGCCTTCCCTGTCTCTCCTGTGCACAGGCAGATCTCAGTGTCCTTAGACATTGGCCCAGGATTTCTCAGTTAACTCTGCTCAGGAAATGTACCATCCAGAGCTCTTGAAGGGTTAAATCCGTATCTGAGACCAAGTCACCTCCTAGAATTGGGAGGGACTTTGGAAGACTACCCAGTCCAACACTCTGGTTTCAAGCACACAGGCATAATTACTCTCCTCTTGTAGATAAGACCTTTGGCACCAGTCAGAACTTTGATTATTCTAGCAAAAGTCAGGTGGAAAACTGGCCACCAGGAGAGGAACACTGGTCACATTTTATTGATTAAGGACAAACACCTCTGCCCTATTAAGAACAAAAACCAAAGCTTACCTGTGATGTACACTTCTTAAAGATGGACTTTTCATCTCAGAGCCTGAACAGGCTCTGGAGTCTGAGCAGGTCTTGCTCACTCCAGGTGCAAGCACAAACAGGTCTCCCCTTCCACCCTCAGCAGGCAGCACTTGACCCACAGTCCCCTGGGATTCTCACAAAAAAAAAAAAAAAAAAGTCAATTGCCCAGGCTGCTGTATTCCTAGAGATCCGTGGTTCTGCACTGATTACTCACCATGCACACATGCACTAACACATACTTGCTTTCCAAGAAACCCCACCCAGTCACTTGTTATTTTTCATTTGCCAGAAGTGTCACATGACCACCCCCACACTGCAATGGTATCTGGGAAACATAGCTTTATAGCTGAGCATCTAAATTCAGGTTTGGCTAATAAGAAAGGAAAAAAATATAGGTACAGAAGGAAGGAAAGAAATGTCTAACTGGGCAATCACCCACCTTCTCTGAGTCTTATCTGAAAAATATTGGAAGTTATACTATCCATTAGGCTCAAATGACTTCTTGGAATTTTGCAGCTCTGCATCAGGAATATTTCTTCAGGATAAATTTTTAGGATGATTTAATCTTAAAACTGAAGAAAAGTTTGCTTATACACTTTTAAATATTATAAACAGTACTTTCTTTGGAAAATAGTGTATGTTCTCTTCTAACTTACTTCAATTCCCAATACACGAGATTGACTTTACTACCGATAATAATAAACTCTTTTTATGGCTGAGTAGTACTCCATTTTTTTCTTCCACATTGAGTTTATTGGTACATTTTACATATACAGTACAGTTACATTCATCATTGGGATCTTGTACCCTTACAGGACAGGTCTTAGTTCTCATTTTTTTCCCCATACCCCTGTCCTCCCTTCACCCCCTCCTCCCTTCCCTATTTACAAAATCTTTATTTCCACTTTTTCATTTTCTCATATTTTTCTTTTCCTTTATTTCCCCTTCCCTACCCTTCCCACTTCCTCCACACCTTTAGCCCTTTTCTTCCTATTTCACATTGTCAATTAAAATGGAATAATACTCAGCCATAAAGAATGAGAAATCTGGGTCATTCATAGGAAAATGGATGCATACTGAGGTTACTACTCAGGTGAAATAAATAAGTCACGCATGTGTAAGTACGGAATAGTTTCTCTGGTGTTAAAAACTATCATTTTTAAAAGATCCTAATGGTATAATTGATAATAATAAACTCTTTACTGAGTGCCCACCCGCTCTTGATACTTTACGTACATGGCCTATACCTAGCCCTGTAGCAAACCTATGAAACCAGTGAACTCTGCATGGGTTGAAATCTTACCAAATGAGTTGTTTTCCTGGTCCTTTAAATTGTTTGACTTCTGAAGAGAACAGTCATTTAAGGTTTTGCCACATTTTTCACCATGCCCCTCTATGAAAAATAAATTCTGCCTTGAAGCCCAACATACACAGGTGTGCACATCCCCCAAATTTAAGATGCGAAGGCTGCAGGTCAGAATGTTAAAACAATGTGCCCAAGTTCACTCAGTTGGATTTGAACCCTACTGTGCTAGGATCTTTTCTCAGCCCAACCACTGGACCTAGAAGAGACTCTGCTACCATGGAGACAAAAAAAAAGCTATAGCATCCAAGCCTCTGGGCCCTGCTCCTTTTTTTTTTCTTTCTTTTTTTTTTCTTTTTTTTTTTTTTTTTTTTCCATTTTTTTTTTTTTTCTTTCCATACCAGGGATCAAATTTTGAACCTGGTGCTTGAGAGGCAGGCAGCGAAACCACTAAGCTAAAAACCCTGCCCAATGATTATTTTTTTAAACTGTTTCCAAATGGTTCCAATGTGCAGCCAAAGTTGAGAACCACCATCTGAGACCAAAGTTCTCCAGTTCAGTATTGGGAAACAGCTGAGCAGGGTCTGGCTGTAAATTCCCAGGGCCACACCTTCCCTATTGTTAGTTCAGGAGGGCTGGGAATGCACATTCCTCACAGGGGCCTTGAGGACCACTGAGCGGTGCCTCTGAGCTTCCTTTCTGGTCCTCTCGCTTTCTCAGTATGGAGCTGTCCCCTTAGGCTGCAGGCTCTGCCAGGCGGGGCCTCCTTGTGAAACATAGCTTTATAGCTGAGCATCTAAATTCAGGTTTGCTAATATGAAAGGAAAAAAATATAGGTACAGAAGGAGTGAGTGTGGCACGGGGTGGGGGACACCCAGGAGAGAAACACACGGAATCTCTTCCCTCATAGCACCTGTCATGGGCTGTGACTCGCTTTCCCCGCTGTTGTGTAAAACGCTCGAGAACAGGAAAGAATACCTGGCATTATTCGTCCTACCACCTCCAACACCGTGACTTTTGTATCGCAGATACTCCAAATGTATTTTTCATTATTTAACAATTGCCTGTGAGTCTAGGTGATGTGATAAGGTTAAGGCGTAATGCAGGTTGCTATGTGCACTTTTACAGAATAGTGTATTCCATCAATTCTTAAAGTGCTTGGAAGGGGCAATTAGGAGGAACCCAATTTTACTTTTCAGACATGCAAGTGGCCAGCCAAACAGTGCCGCATAGTGACCCTGGGGTAGAGACCACAACTCTGATTTATTTCACAGGTGACAAGTTCTATATATTCTCTCTCTTCTCCTCCTCCCTCTCTCCCTCCCCCCATCTCCCCTCCCCCAAGAACAGTCCAGTTTCACATCTGAAGTCTTATCCTCCTGCTATTCAGCCCTTAGGTCATTTAGATCCCCATATGTCCACACCTTTGGAATTAGTAAAGTCATGATCCTATTCCAGCAAAGCACCATATTCAGCTTTGGGAAGGTTCACAACATTCTCTCAGGTCCTAGGGGACCACATGTCCCAGATATGTTCTGAACAGTCCCAAATAAGCATTGACCTTCCTTTGACCTTTCTCCTTAAAAGAAAGAGGCCTGTGTTCCCAGTGCCCGTGGGTCACTGGGACACTATCTCGGACCCAGAGCTTCAAACCGATGAATTCTGTGTGCGTTGAAATGTTATCAAATGAGTTATGTTGTTCCAAATCCTTTAAATTGTTTGACTTCTGAAAAGAACAGCAATTTAGAATTTTGCCAATTTTCTTCACCATGCCCTTAAATGAGAAATAAACTCTACACTGAACCCCACACACATGTACATACACACTTGGGTCTCATAAGAAAATATTAAAGCAGAATATTACATGTAATGCCCCTTGTTATTATCTCCTATTCAGTTTCATTTTTTAAATAGTACCTATACTCATAAAAATCACTGGTTCTCAACCTTGCTTGACTATTGGGATGATCTGGGAAATGTTAATAATTTCCAATAGCAAGGTCTGACTCCCTGAGACCCTGGTTTAATTGGTCTGAAGGTGGTGGAAGCAGGGGGATTTTCTGTCTCCACCCCAAGAAGATTTTAATGAGAAGCCCAGAGAGGTACCCTGGTGCAGTAAGTTCATTCCTCGGCCCACAAATGAGCTCCCACTTGCAGTTTGGAAACCAGACACCGAGGAATAACAGACTAGTGTTTCCATGACAGAGCTTTGGCAAGCAGACTGATTTGTGCTGAGGACTTTCCTGGGCACGGGGGAGACAATGCTGAGGATGTCACCTTTGCCCTTGAAGGCAACAGCATCATTTTCAAAAACGGAGCAGACCCGTGTAGGCAGCACCCAGATCAGGAAGCAAACACTGGTGGCACTCAAAAGCCCTAAGGTCTCCTTCTAATCATGAGTCCTACAGCAAACCAAGAACCCAACTCCCAGTCACATAGATTCCTTGGTCCTATTTTTATACTGTACACAAAAGGAATTGGACAGCGTGTTGCTGGTTTTCCTGCCTTTCCCTTGCTGTAACAAAACACTTGATGCTAGGTACTTAATAAAGACCAGTAGTTTAACTCACGGTTGTGGAGGCTGAAAGTCCAAGACTTTATTTTGCCTTTTAGCTATGTCACATCAGGGCAGATGGTGTCACAGTGGCAGTGAGGTGACAGGGAGCAGACACATGGCAGGACCAAAAGCAAAAGGCAGAGAGTGAGGAGGGGCCAAGCCTGTGCTTCTGTAACAGTGCTCTCTCAGAGCTAACCGGGGTCCCCTGAGGACCTCATAATTCCTCTCAAGGGCAGTGTCCCCAGTGACCCTGTCACCTCCCTGTCTCCACCTGTTAAAGGTTCTGCCATCTCCCAATAGGGCCACCCTGGGATCAAGCTCCCAGTGCAGGCGCCCTTGGGGAACATCCACACCATGTCCACACCCCAGCCTGCTCTTCTCTGTCTGGCTTCCGTAGGTCGATGCTGTGTTTGTGCGATTTGTTGGTATTATTTTGGGTAATTAACAGTTCATTCATTCTCATCGCTTCCTAGTATCTACCCACACGGTCTAAGTTATCCCTTGACTGGTTTATTCCTTCTACTGTAGGTAACATTTACAGTTTGGAGTTTGGGGCTGTGAGCACGTCTGGAAAACATATATATCTAGGTCAGATACCAATCTAGAAGTGAATTTCTAAGCTGTGGACTCAGCATACAGAAAACTTTAGTGTTGTAGCCGTTCACACACCACTGGCAAAGTCTAGAGGGTCCCAGCTGCTCTTTGTCAATGCTTGGTGCTGCCGATCTTCATCTGAGCCATTGTATTGGCTGCATGCAGGTGTGTGTGTGTGTGTGTGTGTGTGTGTGTGTGTGTGCGCGCACGCACATGCCCACATTTGTTTGAATGACAGTGTTTAATGAGAAAGACGGAAAGGTCTCTCCTTTGACATAGACAGTGGTTCTCACTGGTGTGTGAATCCCTTCCCCAAGTGGGGAGTTAGTACACAAACGCTCCGCAGTCTCCCGAGGGTCTGCGTCCTGGGTGTCACTTATCTTAGCTGTGTATCTCTCCCTCTCCACCCTGACCTGTCCTTACTCTTGTGCTCTCTGCCTCCCACACCCAGCATGGGACTGACCTGGCGAGACATGCAGCACCTGACAGTGCTCACCTCCAAACGGAACCAGCTCCACGACGAGGTTCATCAGTGGCGGCGCAATGGGGTTGGCCTGGAGTTCAATCATCTGTTTGGCTATGGGGTCCTGGATGCCGGCGCCATGGTAAAAATGGCCAAAGACTGGAAGACTGTGCCGGAGAGGTTCCACTGTGTGGGAGGCACCGTGCAGGACCCCGAGTAAGTGGGGGCAGTGCCCAGGGATGGCCCCTCTCCATCTCAGGGGTGTGTGCTCCTCTGCCTTGTGTCTGTTAGTCACCTGAGCTTGACCCATCTACACCTGGCCTGAGATCAATGTTCTCCTCCACTCTCCCTTGGTCTGGGATTCTCCGCAGCTCTCAGAGTCAGTCAGACAGACCTGAATTCTAATCCTACCTTCGCCACTGTAGACAAGACTTTTGACCTCTCCGACCCTCTCTGTTAGCAATTTTTGACCTCTGCCCCCCACCCCACCCCTTTAGCAGTAGAAAAGCTACAGGCCCCATCGTAATACAGTGTTTTTATACTCAGTAGAAAATGCACTGGATTACAAGGCATTAGCAAAAAGCTCTAGTGGCAGGTCTAGTGTTCATGTAATTCCAGAGCAATGAAAATACTTGCAGTGATTGGGGTGAAATATGAAAATCTGGGCGTTTGGATAGCAAGGCTGAGAAAGTACTAATGTCACTCTGAGTCGAGGCCTGTATTCAAATCAAAAGAGAAATTTAAGTTTCTGTTATGCGAAGTGTGATTGAAAACGTGAATGTTTACATTTTTTAAATTGTATTACAGCAAAAGACACATCGCCATTAATCCACCTCAAAATAGTCTCCTTTCCTTCGAACACTCTAACGCCCTTGCCACTTTCTGAAGCAGCTCTGGAAGCCGTTTGCTCAGTGTCTTTAGCTGCGCCGTCCTGGCCACTTCAATGTGCTGAAGTGATTCAAAATGTTTTCCTTGCAAGGTCATTTTGACTTTGGGGAAGAGCCAGAAGTCACACGGTGCCAGGTTGGTGAATAAGGTGGGTTAGGACCCAGCACGTTTTTGCAAGCCTGCCTGCCTGTCTGTTGGATGGTGCTCGGCAGTAGCACTCACCGTACTTTTCTTTAACCACACCTGGTAAAGACACTCATGAAACAGGACTTCCAGGACTGCTTCAGACAGTAGCAAGAGGGCAGGGGATTTAGCTTTAGAGGCACCGCACCTGCCTTGCAAGCTCAAGGGCCCGAGTTCAATCCCCGGTACCAAAAAAAACAAAACAAAAAAGAGTAGCAAGAATGATGTCATGAATGTGTTCAAAGAGAGGGTGAGGATTGTGAGGGGGTAAGTGGCAATGTGTCTTTTACTATAGTACATTCTTAATGTAAACATTCATCCTATATTTTGAGCACATATTGTAGTTTAGAAAAATTAAGATAAGGGCTTTTTCCACGTACGTGACTAGACCATTTGAATGACCCAATATGCCCCATGAGAAGGCCGGGAGGCTTTCCTTAAAGAGCACCCCCGGAGACCTCCAGAAAACCTGCCTAGTGAGTGTTCACCACCCCCTGAATCCCTAACTGCCATGCCAGAGGGCCTGTCACTGTGTGTCGAGACACTACAGGAATCTCTGGGCAAATGCTCCGCCCTGTTCCCAGTTAACTAACTCAACCCAAGTCAGTGTGAAAAGGGCATTGTTTCCAGCACAGAGGATGCAGAGAGCCCTAGCTGGCCTCTCCTCAGAGACAGGCCCTGGCTGGCTGGGCAAGGGTCTGTCCCAGAGCCTCCACCAGTACAGACCCTTAGACATGGGAAAACTATGCTTTGAATGAAGGAGGAGTGAGAGTATTCAGCCAGCAGCCCTAGGCACAGCAGGCCGGCCAGGAACTCAGGAGGGAGCCCCCATGGTCCCCATGCCCACTAAGTGCCCTCTGGTCCTCACCCACCCTGCTCCCTATCTTGTCCCGAGAGGCAGGTGAGTGAGGCCCGGGGCAGATGTGCACAGCAGAGAACTTAGAGGGGCCCCAGGGCTGGCAGCACTCTGACTCCCTGGAACCACTCTTAACGAGGAGCTGCACAGAGCAGCTGACAGCCCAGTGACTGCCACTTTCCACGCCATGCAGGACAGAGTGCAGAGAGTGGCAAGTGTCAGGTTTGTGGGCTTCCTTGCGTTTATCTTGCCAGAGAAGGAGTTAATTTGAAAAGCAATTTTCCAAAGGGGCTTTACCAAGGGAGTCAACAGAAGACGCCTGGCTTCGCTCAAGGGGAGCTGTCACTGATGCTGGGCCCTGTTGCACCTGCCCTGGAGAAGGAGCCGAGCTACCAGACCTATATTGCTGGCCAGGCTGCAAGGAGCGTCAAGCTCAGCTGCACTCCAATTCTTCTGCAACTCCTTAAGGCTGTGGCACTATGGGCTCTAATTCTGAATTTTAAGTGAATCTGGAAATATGAAGTATGATTAAAATATCTAATGAATATTTTAAAATTTAAACATGTATTACAATAAAAGCCACAATGCCATTAATCGCCCTCAAAATACTCTCCCTCTCATGGAACACATTTATCCATCCAATGGAAAGGCAGGCTCATAAAAATGTGACAGTGTGTCCTGATCCACCTTATGCACCAGATCTGGCCCTGTGCAGCTTCTGGCTCCTCCCCAAAGTCAAAATGGCCATAAAAGGTGAATGTTTTGAATGAGTTCAGGACATGGAGGCAGCCGCTACAGCACTACTAAAGATACTCACGAAAGAGGACTTCAGAACTACTGCAGAAAGTGGCAAGAAAGATGGGGAAGGGTGTTGTAACAGCAGGGACCGAGGATAGGGTACCAGTGCCATGTGCCCACCAGATATTGCACTTGGGGTTTTATACATAGTCTTGTTTAACCTCGATCGTCCACTATGCCAGTGAGACTTCTAGCTCCTAAATAATTGGCCCAAACTTCACGACCCTAAGCACAGAAGCAAAATTCTAATCCAGGTAGGTGCATTCCCATAGACTGGAGTCAACCAGTCTTCCCATCAATCATGCAGTTCTCAGATGTGGCGTTCCTCAAACATGATGCTCCCAGCACCAGAATTGCCCAGCTTCTCATGTGGGAAGGAGGCCAGGTGCGGAGGAGACTGGCACGGGGAGAGACGTGGTAGGGAATGCTTAGGCCAAAACTCCAGGGGCTCCAACCCTGAGAACAAAGACACCCCCAAAGTCTCCTGACCTTTCAAGGACTGTCTTTTTTTGGTACTGGGGATCAAACTCGGGACCTTCACTTGTGAGGCAAGCAGCAGCACCAATGAGCTAAATCCCCGGCCCTCAAGGACTGAATGCATTAATCCGACTTCAGCTTCTTGGGAGCTGAGGTTGGAATTCTCCAATTTGGGAGAAAAAGTTGAGGATCCTTAATCTTAAAATCAAAAATGCTTCAAAGTCCAGAATTTTCTGAGCTCCAACAAGATGCCCCAGGTAGAGAATTCCACACTTGACTTGTGTGATGGATCCCGGTCAAAACACGGGTGTACTGAACACACTGTTCCACATTAGGCTCAAGCTATGGGCAGGAGGCACATGCGAAACAAAGGAGTGCTTCATGTTTATTCTTGGGTCTAACCCTAAGATGTCTTGTTATGTGCATACAAATATTCCAGAATCCAAGATGCTTCTGGCTCCAAGGATTTCCAATAAGGGATGTTCAACCTGTAATAAAGTTATATTGGCAGCAACATCTGTATACCAAGGTACCTGGCACTTTACAAGGAAGGCAGTGTGAACTCCAGCCCCAAAAGTTAACCCCAAGAAAAGACTTGTTGAGTCTTTTGAGAGATGATTCCAGGAAACACTGGTGAGGAAGGGAAGATGTGAGACAGGGGAAGAGACAAAAGGCCCACAAAGAATGCATGAATGTGCAAGGTCCTGAGTTTGATCCCCGGTACCGCCAAAAAGAAAAAAAATGCACGAATGACCCAGGCATACGCTTGTAATCCCAGTACTCTGGGAGACTGAGGCAGGAGCTCATCAAATTATAGTCCTCCCTAGGCAACAAGAAAAAATTTTTAAAGGAGGCCTGGGGATGTGGCTCAGAGTGAAGGTCTTGGGTTCAATCTCCAGGACTGCAAACAAAAAAAGAAGGTAGGAAGGGAAGGAGTGGAGAAGAGAGGGTAGAAAGAAAGCAAGGAAGGGAGGGAGGGAGAGCAAGTGCCACCGTGGACAAGTAAGCTCAGCCCTCCTGGGGACGCGGCGTCCTCCCACTGAGCAGTGCTGTCCACCATCAGTAGAGGTCGGTGCCTGGGCTCCCTTGGGCTGTGCTGCACAGGCTGTGCTCCTCAGAGGTAGCTTCGAGGGGCTTCAGGAGACTGGGACTACCCAAGCATGCCTGCCACCTCCCTCTTCCAGGAAAGCCCCAATGTGTGACTCCCTCCAACTGACAGTGCTGGTGCAGGAATTAAACCACACTCCAAGTGACAACCCCAAGCCCCTGCTTCTGCTCCTGGAGCTGCCTGCAAAGCCCTGGCATGGTGCCCACCCTGCCCTCACCTGTCTCCTCTTCCCTCTGCCCCCAGGAAGATCCCATCCACCGGCAAGCTGGTGCTGACGCTCACCACAGCTGCGTGCGAGGGGAAGGAGAACTTCGTGCGCTACCTCGAGCACGTGCAGGCCGTCATCACGGTCAACGCCACCAGGAGAGGAGACCTGAACATCAACATGACGTCGCCCATGGGCACCAAGTCCATTCTGCTGAGCCGGCGTCCGCGGGACGATGACTCCAAGGTGGGCTTCGACAAGTGGCCTTTCATGACCACCCACACGTGGGGGGAGGATGCCAGGGGAACCTGGACGCTGGAGCTGGGCTTCGTGGGCAGCACACCCCAGAAGGGGGTGCTCAAGGAGTGGACCCTCATGCTGCACGGCACGCAGAGCGCCCCGTACATCGACCAGGTGGTGCGGGATTACCAGTCCAAGCTGGCCATGTCCAAGAAGCAGGAGCTGGAGGAAGAGCTGGACGAAGCCGTGGAGAGGAGCCTGAAGAGCATCCTCGGCAAGAACTAGAGCCACCTCCTCCTCCTCCCACGCCCTTCATTCTGTGTCGCCTCCTCCTCCCCACCCCGCGGTCCTGGCAGGCACCCAGCAATCACTGTCGTCCCACTCGGGCGACTGTCTTCTCGATCAGCAGCTTCACCCACTGTCCATGAGTATTTTCATTATGATGGAAGCAATCTTTTTATTCTCTCCCAAATATAGTATTCCCACCAACATCTTCACCCCATGTGTGACTCTTCCTTATTTCTGTCATTCGAATGTGTGATGTCTTGCAAGGAAAGCTGGGACAGCTCCCCTGCCTCCCCAGCATTTCTCGTATCTGAGAAAAGGATGCATGAAAAAAGCCACATCCGGGGACCCCACGAACATTTGTCTGTGGTCTCATCTAAGGAGTCACAAGAAAATCAAAGCTGGTGGGGACAGCACATTTTGCAGCCTCTGAAGCACAGGGAAAGCTGTAAACCCTTTCTGCAAAGATGGTTGGAATTTAGAAAGATTTGTCAGGGACAGAGATTACGCTGACATCAAGAAAAAGATGCCGCCCATAGAGAGCCTTAATCACCGAACTGGGAAAGGAGATTCAAAGGCGTGAGCATTGGAAAATTTTCCACCAGTGCCACTATTGTATTCACCGACTCAGCGGGCAGCTGACGAGGACCTCAGTGGCGTGGCTGTCTGTCGCCAGCTGCTGCTCTGGGCAATGGCAAAATCTGCCGATGAAGCCCAAACTCCCCCGGTCTGGATAGAGTCCACCCCCAACCCTTGCCAATTTGGGGGGCTCCTTCCATAACTGTGCAAAAGAAAAAAATTAAGGCAGGTCTGGTGACACATCTGGGATGAGTATTTTTGCTAGCTTTTAAAATAGAAATGTTCCTTTTCCTACATCCGAGACTTCTGATCTGATGTGAGAAGATGAGTATTATTTTTTTGACAGCTTTACACACATCTAGCAGGGCTCTGACCTCCCAAAAACATCACTGGAGGGAAATGTAGTCCCTCACGGGGTGATCTGATTTCTGTATAGGAGACTCAGTCTCTGTTCTGCAAGAGGCCGAGAAAGGTGAGCAACACCTCTGGAGATGGGACCTGCATTATGCCAAGAGGGCACCGCCAAGTCACCCCAAGGAGCCAGGGGCCAGGAGGAAGCAGGAGGCCTCCATGAAAGCACACAGTTGCCACATCGGCAACCTAGAGATCCATGAGAACATCTAACACATAATCCAGTCATTAGAGTTGCCAACCCCAGACACACCATTCATTACCAAACAGATAGCACCAAAGTGGCCTCTGGTCACTGCATTCCTTCCTGAGGACTGGCCACCCATGCCCAATCGCAGCACCCAGCCATTCCCACAAAATGATTCTTTCTCGGCCACTCCTGGCCCCATCCCTCCTGCCCAGCCTTGAGTCACCTTCACTGCAGCCAGCAACTCGGGGCTGGGGGGGGGGGCACTGGGTTCCATCCCCTGACAGTGGCAACCCTGAGAAAGAAATCCAGAAACCTCACTTTCTTTCTTTTCTCCCCCACATTGGCACGGATTTCTGTCTTCTCCAATACCTTGTGACTTTCTCCACATCCTGCTTTAAAGTGTAATACAACTCATGATTTTTTTAAAAGAAATTTATTACTTGTTGCAAAGGTCTTTTTAACCCAGTTTAGGTTTCAAGAAAAAAAAATGAATGGAAATCATTGAAAATTCATTTCACATCAATGGTCTGAAAAGAAACCAAAGGACACTATGTGTGCATGTATGTACAAGTGCACACAGAAATATACATACATATGTAGACTATACACGTGTGTATGTGTGTGTGTATATACACTTGTATAAATGTAGATACACACATATACCTGAAATGTGTGTACATGTATCTATTGAAGAAACAGATGCCATATTCCTCTCTAAAAGAATATTCAGAGAATATTGAGATTCTGGCTGAAGAAAAAGGTCGGTGGAAATTCAGGTGAAAATGTCCGATTCCCATTATGTCACCTCTGTGGTTTTGCAGCTCTCTGTATGAACATTAAATGTCTTATATAAGCAGCAAAAATATAAAATAGTTGTCCACATTTTCACAGTTGTGGTATAAGTTATGAAATTAGGGAGTAACTTCTGAGCTTCTTAATAGAAACAGCAAGTTTTGATATGAGTATATAGTATATAAAAATATATATAATCCTATGTATAAATATTTGGTCTCTATTTCATTTTTTGCAGCAGTATTACCACTAAACTATGCCCAGCTGGTGATGTTTTTATGATATCCCTAATCCTAATACAAGAGACAGCTATTTATAGTTATTTATTTTAAAAAATTAAAATCAGTGAATAACGATTATTCAAGTTGCCATTGTTACTCCCTGTGACAAAATTTTATAAGTAAATTTTAAAAGATATGTTGTAAATTAGGAGGCACAACAATAAAACATAACCTTCCAGAAATTACATGGAATGTACTATATCTTACTTGAGACACTCCATCCATTAAAGGGGAAGAGAATAAACACTGCACAAGAGAGATCCAAAAAGCCTACTTTAGTACATATGCATGAGGTATAATTAGCATATAAATCATACATAAATAATGATTAACAGCAGCACTCTTCATACTTACATTGCTTCTATTAGTGGACGGTAAAACCATTTAGGAAGTTGACACCAGCATTTTTTAATAGAAGAGTAGGAGGATAGAGCAGAACAGACTAGCTGATGCATATTAAAGATAAGCATTATTTCCTGGACTATTTGTTTCCAGGGTGTGTAAGTGTGTGTGTGCGTGTGTGCATACACGTGTGAGTGTGCGCATGCTGGATCACAATGTTAAACGTATTTCTTACTGTAGGTCATGGTCAAAAGTCTTTTAGAGCTAGGCATGGCGTCATCCACTAGCATGCAGCTATTCTGGAGGCTAAGGCGGAAGGATTGCAAGTTTGAGGTCAGCCTTGACAAGTTTGACCTATTTAAAAATAAATAAAAAGAGCTGCAGATGTGGATCTGTTGTAGAGCACTTGCCTAGCATGCTCAAGGGCCTGGGTTTAACCCCCAGCACTGCAAAACAAAGCAAACTTTTCAGAAACATCAGTTTAGAATACATTAGCTAAGCTACATTAAATTATACTAGTTACAGATGACCTCAAAATTTCAGTGGTTAGAGCCGGGTCTTTAGCTGGCAAGCTCAAGGACCCGAATTCGATCCCTGGTATCAAAAAAAAAAAAAAAAATCAGTGGTTTAATACAACAAAGGCTTATTCATCACTCACACAGATTCTAAAGAGGCTGAAGGTGACTCCCCAAAGCCACAGTCTCCAGGCAGGACCCACACCGCTTCCACGCTACGGTTCGTAATCATAACCGAGGCTGCTCCAGGACCTACGGCAGACTCTCGCCCACTCTGCCACATTCACCCCGAAGGAGATGACAGGCCACGACCTCGCTGAACACTGAGTGACTGGGAGGTGCCCAGCGACTAGTGATACTTAATGAGCACTGATGTCCCTGCCACCAAGTCCTGAACAATGCCTTCAAACATGCTCTGAAATTCTGACCCGCATGGTATATTAGCCGCTTTCCTGTTGCTAGGGCGTGACACCCGACCCCCACAACTTAAAGGAGAAAGGGTCCCATTTGGATCATGGTTTGAGGGGTGCAGTCCACGGCCAGCTGGCTCTGGGACAGTCACATCATGGTGGAAAAGTGTGGCAGAGAGAAGCTGGTGAACTCAGGGCATCCTGGAAGCAGCGCCGGGAACAGAGCCAGACAGGAAGGGGCCAAGGCCACACCTCCATGACCCACCCAGACACACCCGGAAGTGTGCTTTACCGATCCCTAGGTGGCTCCCAAGCCAATCAAGTTGCCATAAACTTAACCATCACACATGTTACTCCCTCGTCACGGATGGTCCGTGAGCACCGCTACAGACTAGCCGTACCCTACACCGTGTGACCATGTGCTGGTGCAGAAAAACCTTAGTAGTTCATTGCAAAAACAATTTATAGTTTGTTCTCTGACACAGTATTCATCAATTTCAGTTATTAAAATCCTAAGAAAGCCTCTGATGAAAAACAGAGAGTAAAGGGTATAGGTAACCCCCAAAGTGACACAGAGACACTTCTGTTCAATACTTAATTTCAAAGATGGATTGCTAAAATATTGAGCTTTTTAAGAAATTTATAAACTTCTTATACAGTTATTACTCTATGTCACCATTAACACTTATAAATTAATGATGGGTTTTTATGGGATCAATACATTCATTAATTGGAAAACCACACCGTATAAAAGATACATCATAGAGAACAGGGAGATCATTTGCAAATGGGAAGGGGACCAAGAGATGGAGGAAGGGGAGGGGAGGGGACGTTAAAAGAATTAAGATGTGTTATGTACGTGTAACAACTCCCTACAATGAATATAATCATTATGTACTGCAATCATGTAGTAATAAATGTTGAGAGAGAGGAAAAGAAAGAAAGAGAAAGGAAGGAAGGGAGGGAAGGGAAGGGCGGCCAGAAACAATCCTTCAGGACACATACGGAGCACTTTGTATTTAGAGAGAGAGAACTGCTGAATTGAAGAAATTATTGCTCGTATAACCACAATAGATCTTTAGATGCAAAGAGTCTAATGTGCTAGAAATTTCTAAAGATTAAGACACAAAGATTAGGGACAGAGGTATAAAATTAGGCTAGGTAGAGGTTAAAGAGTTCTAAAATCTCTGGGAATTTAAAATAATATTAGCACAGAACATCTGGCCCATGCAACTGACTTGTTTATAGCTGGGAGGTGATTTTCTATCTCCAAAAAAAAAAAAAAAGAATGGGTCATCAGAAAGGGTGGGAGGAAGGAGACCACTCAGCAGTCTGGAAAGGTGAAGAGTCAGGGGTCAATAGCGGGAGGACAGAGGCAGAATTCGGAACTCCAGTCCATGAAGAGGAAAAGTCTGTCAAGGACGGAGAATGATGCTCAGGGTGAGTTGGCCCCATCAGGACACAGCACCCCTGCGGGGGTCCAGACTGTTCCTGCCCACAGCCTCCAGAGAACACTACCAGTCTAAGCGATACAGGGCGTCTGCGGAAAGGGACACCTGCCTTTACAATGCAAATTAATCAACCACACTTGAGTTTTTCCGCTCGCCTCTTGCGCAATTCAATGAACTCCTTCCTCATGTTCAAAAAAACTCTGATCAGATTTGGGTTTGAATTGAATTTATAATGAACCAAGAATGAAAGTCTAACTTGGGGTTAATTCTCTGAGCCAGCTCTGCTTTTCTCTTAGAACTCAGAAAAGAGTCCTTGTGAACCTGTGGATGGAAGGAACTGAGTGGAAAATACGTCCAGCCCAGAAATGACGATTCCAGGCTGCTGAGTTTCCAGTGCTTGGTCCTGAGTGACCTGGGGTACAGCCGGGAGGGAAGGTGTTAGAAATCTCAGTGCACGGAGTTTCCAATGTCAGAATAGCCCAGGGAGGTTGCCACGTCCTCATCCAATATCAACTGTCACCGATTTCCTCCAAGGAGACTTCAATGCCATCTGCCTTCCCTACCCAGCGAATCACACCTCATACCATCCCAGAGACATGCCCGTGGGGATGTCCCCTGAGAGAGTCCCAGATGGAGGTGAAAACATACTCTTTCCTCTACTGGTCTCAGGCCGTAAGACTGCTGACTGGCCACAGCTGACCTGAAAGCCACCTGGTAAACTCTTGGTTCAAGCACAAGGCTAAAAGGGTAATGAAACTATCGTGGACTCACACACAGTGGAGTTATTGACCTGGGACTAAATCTTTTTTTTTAATAAAACCTAAGTCAGTATGGCTTTTTGTGCACTTATCCAACCTGAGCAAATGGAGCTAAGAATTTGTACTCATCAAAGTACCTGAATGATAATGCCCTTTGTCATTAAGGTGCCAACTAGCCTATGAATTTGAGGTGACTTCATGCACCAGCATGTCCCAAACACACACCTATGACAGGGAATTGTAGGGTGACCCTGATTATAATGGTTGCTTGAAGATCTTTCCCTGAAGGTTCCAAGTCAAGGACAGAACTGAATGCCATTTCCCAACGGGAGAGAGGGAGGAAGTCGCAGGGACACCAAGTGAGACTCACCTTCCAGTGTGCAAACTGGATTTCATAGCAGACCCCATTGGTTCACCAGGGAGTCAAAACTGCAGTCCCTGGCCCCATCTAGCACAGCCGGGTTTTACGAGTACAGCTGTGTTGGGAGCAGCCACCCCCACATGCTGTTGCACATTCAGACAGTAGAGTCAAGGAGCTAGGACAGGGACTGCAAACCCTTCAAGGAAAAAGTCCCCATGCTCTGCCCCATCTCTTGTTGGCCCACCCAGTTGTCACCTGAAGGTTTCATTCCTGCCAAAGGCCAGCTGCTCTGTCTCAGCCAGTGACCATTGTGCACCAGGCCTAGTGTGTGGCAGGTGGGGGAGCAGGGCGTCAAAGTACCTGAACAACGATGCCCGTTGTCGTCAGGTGCCAAGGGCCATGTGAGTTCCGAGGTGTCACCTTGCGTGGGGAATGGGTGGAAGCCGGGGAAGAGAGATCTCAGCTTTCTCATCTCTGGTTGCAACAATGTGAAGACGTTCTCTTAGCCTCTTCGAAGTTCAGGGGGATGGAGCCCCAGCTGCCCACTGCGGTAGCCTGCTCATTCCTGGGCCCTGTGTCAACACGTGCCTCCCTGTCTCACACTCCAGGCCTCTACAGTCAGGAGACAGAAACCACAACAGTGACTTAACAGAATCAAAAATAATAAAGCACCATAAGCAGAGTATACATATCAGTTACTTATTAGTCAGCTTTCTACTGCGGTAACAAAATACCTATGGTAACATTGCTTTTAGACTTATGGCAAAGCATATCACGGTGGAAGGGCGTGGAGGAAGAAAGCTGCTCACCTCATGGCTTTCCAAGAAGCAGAGAGAGAGAGCCAGAGAGGAAAAGGCTGGGGACCAGACACAGTTTCCACAGTCACACCCCCATGATCCCTCCCTTCATTCCAGTTCCCATAACCTCCCAATAAAGCCATCAAAGTATGATCTTATCAGCTGGGCATGGTAGCACATGCTTGAACCCCAGCAGTCGGGAAGCTGAGGCAGGAGGATCATTATGAGTTCAAGGCCAGCCTGAACTACATAGCAAGACCCTGTTTCAAAAAACAAACAAACAAAAAATACGATTGAGGCAGAGCTCTCAAGATCAAATCACTTCCCCAAAAGCCCTTTAGCTGGCAGCCAACCTTTTAGCATGAGTTTTAGGAGGAAATTCTAATCCAAACCACAGTACTTATTTGATCCAAAGACAAAAGAGAATGTATGCATCGCATGAATCAGGAAGTCTAAGGCAGTGGAAGCTGGGGGCTCACAGGGAAGAAGGGGAGGGCAGTACACTTCCAGTCTAGGCTGATCCCAGAGCTCCTGTGCCTATGTCACCGGCGGCACCAGGGTGGCACAGAAGCACATCCATGAGGACCTGGGAGCTGGAGAGCTGTGCTCGGGCAAGGGAAGCCAGAAGACACTCTGGTGGATCCACACTGGTCCTGACAGCCCAGGGGCCATCTGAGCTGGGTCCAGGATTCTGGGGACAAAGGCAGCTGGTTCCCAAAAAGTTCCCCTCTCTAGCACATGAGCCCAGTTGGTTTGACCCAGTCAAAACAGTGGCTGCAAGTCTCAGGGATGAACTGACCCCAGGCAGAGAGAACAAGAAGACACAGTAGCTGGATCGGACTGGGCAGGGGACCCTGGTGCTCCTGGGCCACTCTGGCCCATGGGAATTTAGGAAGCAGTCACTTCTTCCCAAAGGGCAGAGGTTAGAATAACAAGGTATGATGGAAAAATACAGTATGTGTTGATTTTTTTAAAAAAACTTTACAGTAAAAGTCACATTGCCATTAATTCCCCCTTCAAAGTACCTCATCCTCACTTCAAACACACGTGTCCCATCATTCTTACCACTTTCTTTCCAAATGTCTGTAGTGACACTGTCCTGGCTGCCTCTGTGTCCTGAATGGATTCAAAACACTGACTTTCATGACCATTTTGACTTTGGGAAAGAGCTGGACGTCACACGGTACCAGATCTAGAGAATAAGGTAGATGAGGACAACATCCCGTTTTTTCGAGCCTTCCTCTCCATTGCACGGCCCCTGGCAGCAGCGTTCACCGTGTTTTTAATCATACTTCAAAAAAGAAAAGAGAACTCAGAAAAGAGAACTTCCAGAACTGTTTCAGAAAGTGGCAAGGACAGGGGATGAATATGTTGGAAGCAAAAGGCAGTACTTTGCGGGGTACTAATGGCAATGTGTCGTTTACTGTCACCACTTTTCATTTTACAATTCACTGTATTTTTTGCCACTGAAGGCCCAAGAAGGAGGCCCATGGAACCGAGACTGAGCCTCTGAGCAGGGTGTCGGCCACCAGTGTGGCACCTCCCCGGCCACTGCCATGAGGCCAGTTCTGCAAATGCAAAGCGCAGAAAATGGACTCTGCTGCTGTGCCAGCAAGAGGTGGGGAGGAGCTGCCCCCCTCTGTTCAGGCTGTTGGAACAGAAAGTTACAGGCCAGGGTGATTGTAAGGAACAGAAAGTGATTTCCCACAGGAAGTGGGACAACCCTCGGGGACTCCTAGTGTGCCCATGCTGCCCTGCATCCTCCAACAGAAGGTATGAGCGCTGTGGATTTGCCACCAGGGCCTGGCCTGGCTTAGCTGAGGGCACCCCAGGAATCTCAAACTCCCTAGGAGCCCCAAGAACCCAGGGTGTGCAGCAATCATTCCCTGGGACCACAGGAAGCTGAGCACATGTTGAAGCCTGGGTCATGAACAGGAACACAGCCAGGATAGGGCTCCCGGGCCCCCACCTCCCGCTTGACCTCACCCCCTCCCACGGTCCTGCTCCAAGGTCCTTCATTTCTCCCCTTTTAACAGGCCATATGCATTCCTGCCACAGGGCCTTTGCACTTGCCATTCTCTCTGCCCTCAGATCTGCACAGGAGGTCCCTTTTCATCATTCAGATCACTCATCATTTCCTCCATGGGGTCCTCCCTGGTCCACCCAGTCCCAAGTAGACTCAGTCACTATTTGTCACCCTCTTTGCTTTCCTTCATCGTACCATCTCTATCTAATTTCATCGCACTTCATTTTCTACTTGCTTCTGTGTTTTATCCCCCACCCCCACCCCAAATGTCAGGTCTTCATATGCAGGGCTACATCTGATTGGCCCTGCTGTGTCTCCAGTACCCAGAAACACTCCTGGTTCATTTGTCTTGGTTGACTGAATACAATTAAAAAAAAAAAAAAAAAAAAAAAAAAAAAAAAAAAAAAAAAAAAAAAAAAAAAAAAAAAAAAAGACCTTTCATTCCAAAACAACACCCAGCCTCTCTAAGAACAAATAACTGAACACGTAGTCCGAAAACTAAAAAGAGCGAATAGAGGAAAGTGTGTGTGGTGCTGTTGATGTTTAATAGCATGGACACAACAGCCAGAATCGTTTGCATCCTGGGCTCCCACCGATGGTTCCACCATTCTTGCTTAGAACTTTGAGTTATAAATGTTTCAAGCTGTGGGATGGAGCGAGTTCTCCATTCATGTTTTAGAAAGAACAAGAGAAGCATATTTCTGTCTTGAAACCAAAACCTCAAAGGAATTCCAAACAAGATTGTTTAAGGCCCTAAGTAAGCACAGGTGACTCCATTTAGCATCCTGCTATTCATAAAGAAGAAACCACAGTGGCTTTTTTCTTCTTCTTCTAGGCCAATGCAATAATCTACTTTTGCACATGGACGTGGGGCCCTTGGTGCCTTTTGCAGCACCTCCAGGAAGAAGCAGTGGTTTTTTTAGCTGGTATAAGGGAAACTGGCTTTTGACTGGCAGTAGGAAAATGGATGCTCATGGACAACAACAGTTTTGCAGCCTGGGGGTGGAGCTCGGATAGGGTTCCTATCTAGCAGGATCAAGGCCCCGGTCTCCGCTCCCAGCACACACACCAAAAAAAATGCTTTTAAAGATTTAGGTTTTGTGTCCCTGTTTCGTGGGACGTGACACGGTAAGCACCTGTTGTACACAGAAGAGCATGGACGCCCACGAGACAGGGCTGCACCGCTGATGGAAATCACTACTGAGTCTGAGACGCATCCCCAAACACAGTCTGGCACTCAGCGGGTGCTCCAAGAACGCTCATAAAACCAATCCAATCACCTCTAATCCCAGAACTTACGCAGCAACATTCCAGAAGTTTGCTTCTGGAGACTGGCCTGGGATTGCACGGTCCGAGTGAGAAAACTGTAAGGGTAGCACCCAACAGCACCCAGGTGCCTACTCGGGGACAGAGGGCACTGTGCCCCGCCTGCCCTGGTCCTTGCCCCTTCCACACACTTCCATGTCTGGACTTCTGTGCCTGAGGGCCTTGCTGGCACCCTAAGACACCTCACACTCACGACAGCGACTGGTGGCTCCACCCCTGAACCCCATCACCCCGCCCAGCACAGAGCGACTCTGAGGCACGCACTCCCCAGTCCTCAGAGTAAACCAATTCGGTCCCACACTCCTCCCTGCTGTTCCACACTCCCGGCATTTGACCCTGTGCACCAGAACCAGCTTCCAGGGGAGCCCAGGGTGAGCTGCACAGGCTCCTGAGGAAATGGAAGAGGGGCCCAAAATCATCAACAAGCATCTTGCCGCGTGAAACCCAGACACCTCGAGACTGAATGGGTCTGTACGTGCAGGTAAGTGTGCGAGGGCAGGCTGGTGACCACGGGACCAAGCACCACTGTCCTGAGCACAGTGGCAGCCCCTGCTTTCCCAAAGCCCCAAAGGATGACACAAGGCACAGGGTGCAAACAAAGAAAACATTTTAATGCAGGATCCCCGACAAGGCCAGTGAGTCATCTATCGTCAGACCACACAGGAACCACTGTTACCATCTGCCCGAAGACAGCAAAGCCTTCCCTGCAGTGGCCCACAGCGGCCTCCTCCACTGAGCCCAGCTGTCCTAGGAGCCCTTCTCTCCCAATTTCTTACTCCCCTTTGTCTTCCCGATCATGGTCTCCACGACCACAGAGGTCTCCTCGTATGTCTCAATGTTCTCTGTTGAAATCTGCTCAATGGATTCCACCACTTCCACCTTCTTAAAAGCCATAGCCCTGGGAAGGCTCCTTTCTGGTCGGTCACTGCCCTTACCCTTCGCGCCATCCTGAGTGGGCCCAGGCCCTAGAGGCTGGGGTATAGATGGTTCCTCCGGTCCCGCTATGATCCCAGGACAGGGTCTCCTGGGGCTCTCCTCTTCCTTCTGGCCCTGGTCCTTCACCCCCGGGCCTTTCGGTTCCTGTGCTTTTATCTCTTTCCCCCTGTCTGCAGACTGATGCTGGTTTCCTGTATGTTCCCCCTCTCCCCGCTGGGGATCCCCCAGTCCAGCCTCCAAAGGTGGCGTGGGCTGCTCAGGAGAGGGCTCCCCACGGCCATCACCACGCACAGAGCCGTCCTCGATAGAAATCACCACCCCACCTCTGGCGGGGATGGAGGGTGAGCAGAACCCAGGGTCCACGTAGCTGGCGTCCCCTGTGAGCAGCATGTGGTCCCCTCTGGCGTAGAGGTCCGAGAGGGGCTCGGACGCAGGCTCTTTGTGGACCGTCACTCTCTCCTTGACCATCCTGCACAGTGCCCCTAAGGCTTTGCTGATCTGCCCCCCATCTGGCACATCCTCCGGATCCCCTTCCTGGGCTGGGGAGCCTTCTCCTCTGCCCCCTGATTCACACTTGGATTCAGCATCCTCTTTAGCTGGCCCCTGCCCTGGCTTTGGGTCTTCTTCTGGATCTTTTACAGGGGCATCTTCCAAAATTCCTTCTACTTCGTCCTGAGCTATAATCTCCTTCTTCCGTGGAACGTTCTTGGGGAGGCCTTTTTGCCTTGGTTTAGCTGCTGTGATGTCTCGTACAGCCCTGGTGAGATCTGACAAAAAACAAAAACACAGGCAGTAACTCCAGTATCATTGTCAATGAAAGGGAATGAAAATGTATTTGTTGAAAACTATGCTGACAGCTCTAGAAGCAAATGTCTAGTCCCAGGGTGGAGCTTCGGGCTTCAATACCCAGGGCAAACACCGGGTGGGGAGACTGCGGCTTCACAGCCCAGCTGAGGGCCCAGAGAGGGCCCACCTGAGACCCCAGTGCTGTCACAAGCCACGCAATTCTTAAAGTTCCTCCATCCCTCCGAGCTTCTGCAAAGGACAGGCAAGAGCAGCTCACTCTGACACCCTGGAATAATTCTCAGAGACACACAGTCCCACAGCACTACCTGGGTGGGAGCAACACTCCTGTGCCCTGCTGAGCTCACTGAGAGCCTCTGGACCCGCAGCCTGCACCCTGGAAGCCACTCCACAAAGTCCTTCATCTCTGACTCCTCAAAGGAGGGACGGCAGAGCTGCCCGGGCCTCTCACAGTTCAGATGGGCACCGGCTTGGGGGCGGAAGCCAGCACAGTGTCTCTCTCACCCATCTTTATCCCAACAGCACAAACAGACATGGCCCCAGCTTGTCAGCATCCCTTCCTCCTGCGCCAGCAGGAGAAGCGATGCTACTGATTCAGGGTTGACAGGACCCCCTGGTCCCCTCGCATCTATGTATCTCCTCCTCACACTCCTAGCTGAAAGGAAAAACTAGAAAATGAAGAAAACATGTGAAAATCTTACCCTGCTTCATCTCTAAGGCTTTCTAGCACCTCTCACACAGGGAGAGGCTTTTCATCCCGAAAGTCTTTTCTGTCCCTTCCCACCACTCACCCCATGTGATGGTTTAAAGTGTCTCCAAAAATCTCACATGCTTGGGAGGTGACTGGATCATGGGTGCCCTACACTGGCCGTTCATCCATGGATGAGTTGGTGGCTGACTGTGCTGTTTAGGAAATGAGGCCTGGCTGGAGGTGGTCCCTGGGGTGACCTGGAAGAGGGTGTTCCTGTCCCCAGCTCCTCCCTCCCCCTTCTCTGCTTCCCGGTGGCCAGCCATGGGTTGAGCACCTTTTCCTCTGCCAGGCCCTTCTACTACACCACTTCTGCCTCTGAGCCAGCCCACCACAGACTGAACCCACTGAGACCATGAGCCAAAATAAGCCTCTCTTCCTTTAATCTGTGGGTGTCAGGTATTTTGTCCTAGTGAGGGGAAAGTGATTCATCCACCCCAGCACTAAGACAAGCAGAGTACCAGCCCTCAGTGTGGGCTGACCCACCATGGGGCGAGCCAAGGAAACCCAAAAAGGCAGTAACGGTCAGAAAGTCAGAGAGGGGAAGGGGCTACAGAGAGACGTGTCAGAGGACAGCTGGTCTCAGAGGAGTGTGCTCATAGGGTCAGCCGTGGAACCCGGGGCCTCTACAGAAGGAAAATTCAGGGCCCCTTGCTCTAAGCTCATCTGGGGAGAGCAATAGCAGAGCACCAAGCCAGGCCTGGTCCCTGTAGGCTGCACGCCTGTGGAGTGGCCTGCGTGTGTGGCAACAGAGCGCTGTGCTTCCAGCCACATTCTGACTCAGAGCCCGTCGGCACAGATCCCTGAGTTATCCAGGAAACAGTTTAGGGGCCCATAACATCCGGCATTCCCACTGTGAGCACTGATCCCAAAGATGCGAAATCAGTGTGTTGAAGAGACAAGATGCCTGCACACCCACGCTGACCACAACACTTCCAGGACAGCCAGGAGGGGATCAGCCCCGGAGCCCAGCGGCTGACGAGCAGATAAAGAAGTGGTGAACACACGCAGTAGAGAACCAGTCAGCCTGTAGGAGAAGGAGGCGCAGTTACGTGACACAAGGGGTGGGATCATACAACATCGGCCAAGTGAGCGAGCCAGGCACGGAAAGAGCAAGGCCACAGGACCCCAAGGAGAGATCTCAAATATTCTCACCCCACAAGATGCTAAGTGTCTTCAGGGAGGGGTATGATAAGTAGCTCGATTTACTGATTCCGCCTTGACTGTAGATCATAGCATCACTTTGTGCCCCATAGAGTTATACAATAATTACCAACTTATAATAAATATAAATTAAAATGTAAAGTAAAAAAATCCCTATGAGCATCAATATTACCAACTTCTCTTTCTTCCTAAAACACTGCACTTGTGCAGATCTGGGCAGCCAAGACACGGAACATCTCACAGCAGGGTGAACTATTCCAAAAAGACCAGACGCCAAAGGTAGACCCACATTTTCTAATCAGGCTGTCTCTGCTCACTTTTTTTTTTGTTTGTCAGTTTGTTTGTTTTGAAACAAGATCTCACAGTGTTACTCGGGTCATCTCTGTACTCCCAAATTCAAATGACACTCCTGCCTCAGCTTCCCAAGTACCTGGGCTATAGGCACCTGGCTTCTGCTCGGTGTTGAAAGGCAGAAAGAACAGTAACAGCATCTGTTCTGCACCAGACACTGGGTCTTGAGCTGTGCAAAAATGAATTCATTTAATAAGGGGGGAGAATACAGTCCTGTGCCCCCTCCTGCCACGGGGAAGAAGCAGAAAACAAAAGCAGAACGGACCCATGTAACACCCTGTGTTCAGGGATGGCGTTCCAGAAGTGGGCTGTTCCCCTAGCCATCTTCCTCCTTAGGAACTTCTCAGCTCTGTCATTTAGCTCTCAGAGAGGGGAGGAAGGGACCTGCCCATAAAAGCATTTGATTTCCAGATAGGTCGCAAGGTGCAGGAATGAGACCCACTTTTCAAATATTTTTTTCGAAGAAGAAACAAGCAGCAGCAGGGCTGGGGAACGTTACCTTTCCCACCAGATGCCAGGCTGAGAGGGGTCCTGTGGCTCGGGGTGAGCAGGGTGACCGGAGTCTCAATGAAGGCGGAGCTCAGCCTGGCGGAAAGAAACAGAGGGCGGCGCCATCTTTAAATCACCATCAGGATCTGGGCAAGAGCGCTGGAAACCCTGACCCTCAGCAAAATTGATCAGAGTGCTGGTGAGCGCCTTGGCGCTGTGAGGTGACAAGCACCACACATCTACACCCCGGGCAGGGGCGTGAGTAACCACTCCTCGGAGCTCAAGTCCTGCTCAGCACAGCAGCTACGGGAACACCGCGTGAGACTAATAACTGAAGGAAGGGTCGCTTCTGTGGGACCGTGGTTTTCGGATGTTTTTTGTCGTCATTTTTCTTTTTAATTAAGGAGCAGCCAACCCAAATTGATGTATTTAGGTTCAAGAGGCTATGGTAGCTCCAAGATGTTAAAGCAATTGACATTAAATGTACACCAGTGGGGGATCTCAATAGAATATTCAGGGCTTCCTCCTCCCATTCTTGCAATATTTCTTTCCGTTTGAAACTATCAGAATCAGAAGTTGGAGCAAACCCACCCAGGAGAAGCCCATTAACTTTTAGGCATACCCTGGTCCCAAACTAAAATTTTCACAGTGACATTTAATGCAGTTCAAGACCTGATTTCATTGATGCGTCCACAAAGCACTTGCAGAGACATAAGAATGACAGGGAGCTGTGTGAGATGCACTGGGCTGACTGTAACTGCAGAAAGTAAAAGAAAACTGCTGTCCCCACTGCACACCTGAGCACTTGCAACCCACGCGGAGGATAGGGTGAAGGGAAAAGAGGGCCCTTTGGGGTTTCTGCAGGGAAGGAGCTGCTCTTAATCCAACTCCAACCCCAAAACTCAGGCGTTCTCTAGGACTATTCAGCAGGAGGAAGCAGTTTCCCAGTCTCAAGTGAGCAGGGTCCAGGTCACAGCTCTGTGATGGAGGAGACCCAATGGGGCTGTGACCGCCAGGTGACCAGACGGGGCAGCACCAGTCCTGCTGAGCACTACACATGCCTGCTAGACTGTGTGTCCTCAGGCCCAGCAGGCACAAGGCAACCTTCCCGCGAGGCCAGCTCTGCTCACCCTTCATGAAATCTCAAGCATCCCCCACTACCCCTTCTCTCCAAATTAACTCTCGGTCTCATCCCCTAGAGCTCCGTGAGGTCAGGGATTCTATGTCCCTTCCCCACCGCCTCCCTGCTGCCCAGAACTGCCCTCAGCACACAGCTGGGATCTGTGGGATAGAACTGGTGGGCTGGCCACACAGGGGCACAGACAGGGACCACACCTGTTGCTTTCAATCTTGATGATGCGCTGATATCTGTCCAGCTCGTTCCTCAGGGTCTGCTGGGCCACGGCCAGCTGCCGGCAGTCATACGAGGTCCTCTCCACCGTCTGCTCAGCCTCCTCGATCTCCCTCCGCAGGCTCTCGATCTGCTCGTTGTACAGCTGGATCTCGTCGTCGTAACACTCATGGGTGTTTTTCATCGCCTGCTCCAGGGCTGAGGTCTGCAGGCACAGGTAAACTGGAAGGGACCCGCCCTGCCCCCTCCCAGGCCGGCCCTGGCCACGGGCCCCGCCTCGGAGTGCGAACTTCTATTTGTCTCATTTGTTTCTCTGAAAAGGGACAGTTTAGCAGCGACTGATTTTGGAATATGCACCAAAGCAGAGCATGGAAACCTGCATAGTACGTGTATAACCAAATGAAGTCCATTCTCCACACTTAATGACAGCAACGACCTGCCAGCCAAAGCAATACTCAAAAAGAGCACACCCTAAAGGGATAAGATTCTAACCTCACTGAAATAATTAAGAGGACAATGCTTCTGTGTTCTATTTTAGCCACCGTAATGCTTTAATTTCCTGCTTAGTTTGGATCTGCAGAATTACATTTTTATGTTTTTTAGCTCAAATGTGTATGTGAGCATGTTGTATATGAAATAATGTTAGATGCCTAGCACTCATGAAGTCCTGTGTCCAATCTCCGGGCCCAATAAAATGACAGCAATAAACCTTACAGGGAATGCTATTTGCATATTAATAGAGAGCAAGTAAACACAGAAGTAGGGAAATAGGAGGAGGTGGTTTTCTAGACCCTTTAACAACTTCCAGCCATGCTAAGGACCCCAAAATGCACCATTAACAAGCTTACTCTGTGGTAGTCATGCTTTTACAATCTCATCCTCAAGTAGGAAAGAATTAGACGTGCATGTCTTTGAACAAAAAGAAACAAGCAAAAGCACCACTTCTACCTGGAGCAGCTGCAACACACATGAGACCCTCCTGCAGGGGTGAGGCCTGGGTTCTGACTCCAGGCCTGGGATGGGGCGGCAGAGCCTGCATCTCTAATGAGCTCTCGCAGACACTGGCCGCCAGTCCACTACCTCACCTGAACAGGTGTCTCTGCGTGCACCACACAGCTGGTGTGCAGCGCCCTGTACCAGCTGCCTCCATGTGGGCCCTGGAGGATCATCTCTCCTGTCACAACCCCGTCACTGGGGACAGTGACGCCCACTAGGTGATACGTTTGGAAACTTCACTTGCAAAGGTGCTCAGAAACATAGAGGAGGTGGGGGAGTGCAGGGACCAGACACACTGGGAAGAAGTCTGTCCAGCCCATGTCACCCCGACCTGCCAGCCGCTGGGAGGTCCTGGCAGCAGTGTGACCTCATCCTCCTGTCCACAGCTTGGAATGGGAGTGGATCAAACTCAGATAGCCCACCAAATGCTTCCTCTCCTGGGAACTTGGAAAGGTACCTTCAAAGGAGTAGGAACTGGGGCAGGTTCTAGACTCACTGGGGCACACGCAACCAAAGTTGCCATCCTCAGTATGGGAATCTAACCACATGATGTCATGCGCTAAGGACACTTCCAAAGTCATACACCAAAAAGTGCAGAAGCTCAGATTAATCCTGAGGAACACAGGGACCCCACGTGGAAGGAGTACAGTCCACACAGAGCTGCCCTGGACTCTTCAAAGCATCGGGCTCAGAAAGACAGCCCAAGAACGGTCTCAGCCTGGAGCAGACTGAGCAGGCCAGGTGCCTGGACACGAGAAGGATCTTGGACCAGAAGAGAGCAGTATGGGGCAGCTGGCACTATCTGTCATTAGTGTGGTGTCACTGCTAATTTCCAGGTCTCCATCACTGTCCTGTGGTTCTAAGATGCTAACATAAGCAGAGGCTGGTGCAGAGAATGTGGGAAACCTCAGAGTTGTTTTTGCAACTTTTCAGAAGTCTAAAATTATTTCAAAACAAAAAAGTACTCTTCCTGTTTAGCCAGTTTGATCAGGTTTCTGTTCCTCCAAAACAAACAAATTCTACTCAACAGTCACCTGTAATGTCAAATACTGTGGCACCCCTGCCAGCTCCTGGGATAGGGACTTGTTCTTGACCACACCAGTGTTGACATGTTCCAGGACACACTTCCGAGAAGGCAGGGGACTGAAAACACCCCTCCCTCGGAGGCCCGAATCTCAGAGCAACCTCAGATTCACCGGGGTGGGGGTAGATGATCTAAGAGGAGTTGTGTCTCAGGGGACAGGGACGTAGGCTCACGGGACGACTCTCTCACTTTCTAGGTTTGAACTGTTCCATATGAAGGAGCAAAAGAAAAAAATTGGGAAGAGAATCTCGGCCCCCTTATGGTGTGGATGCCCAGCCCAGAGCAGAGTCCCGGTTCGTGCTGACCAGGTCTAGCTGACGGCTCAACTCACCAAGGTCACAGCAACGTTTTCATTCCCACATTAGAGATGAAGGACCTGAGGCACACAGGTGGAGGGACCTGTTGGACGTGCCACAGTGGGAAACCCAGCCACACAGGGTCTGAGATGCTCCCCATAAGAGCAGGTCCTCCCCACCCCAGCCTTCTCTCTGCCGAGGTGAGCAGCGGCCACACACCATCGCACGCACGCACACACGTACACAAATGCACGTGCACACACACTCCGGGCTCTAGAAAGCCTGGCACCACCACAGGAGCTGCGCTGGAGAAAGACACAGGGGACTCAGTGAGACCCACACATAGACCCTCCTCGTCTTCACTGGCAAACCTGCAGACGGTAAGTGGAACGAAGGGTTCAGGAAAGTCACTGAGAGTCCTTCCATCCCATGGAGACAAATCTTTATCTCTCGTGAGTCAAGGACCCGTGATTTAACAGACAGCATAGTTTTAACAGGTCAGCCCAGACTCCTGGTAGCATCCAGGGACCTGACAGCTGGCTCTGTGGGCCTGGACTTCCGCCTCCAGTTGCAGATGTTCGGAAATCCCAGACAGAGCTTGTGAAGATGGGAAAGGGGTCAGGGAATGGAGCAGATGAGCGGAGAGGAGGGAAAGGACAGATGATAAGGCTCCAGACATGTTATGTCTATGTACAGATCCCTGTGGCGGGTGTATTTATCACGTATCACAAATACATATTAATAAAAGGGGAAACTTTTTTCAAAGAAAAAACAGGATAGGCCCCACTTTCACTCATAAAGAGAGAGGCAAAAGTCACATCGCCGTCGGCATCAGCTGGCTGCTGGAGAATGAGACAATGAGTCACAGCTCAAGGGGGGAAGTGGCTCTGTCCCGGGGATATCAAGGCAGCAAGGCTCAGCGTGTCCGGGGCACCTGGAGTCTTCAAAACCAGGAGAAATCATCACTGTCTTTCATGGACTATGCACTGTTGTGTCAAATCTCACCACTAGATGGCGCTAAATGACTTTCATGAGACTTGAGACCTGGGCAATTCTCGCCCACTTTGCAATTAATCTCTTTTCACAAAAATGCAGTGGGTTTGATGTAAGGAGCCAAGATTACCCAACCTTTCTCCTCCACCTGTCAGAGGTGCCATCCATTGGGTCTTACGAGAGAGGTTGAAACAGGGGCAGCCACACCCCTGGGCTGCCCAGGAAGTGGTGCTTCTGACAAGTCCCCAGCGGGTGCTGCAGGGCCCAGGATGTCACCGTGGGCGCCGCTGCCACAGACAACAGGCACAGAACCAGGTGCCCCGCCCTGCGTCCCTCACCCCCACCTGGACTCCAATCACAGCCACCTACAACCGAATCCCTGGGGAGACCTGGGAAGCCACCAAATCTCAGCTGTGGACAACAGCACCACTAAGCACCACTATGCAGGGCACGAGCCCGGGACCCAGGATCAGGTGCAAACATTCTGCCCCTGCAGCATCACCTGGAAATGGGAAGTGCACTTTCCTGAGCCCCACTCTACCCCACTCGTGGACCTGGCCTCAGCAGAGCTTCCCCGAGAAGGTAATCAGGGAAAACCTCAGCCCAGGACCTCTGCCTCTTCTGCTGTACACTGCCAGGGACTCAGCAGCTGCGACCACAGTGCGTAACCCCTTAGCCTTTAAGAAAGGAAGTTGTGCCAAGTTATTATCCTCATCACACAAACTCTTAAAAGCAGGAAATCAGAGCACAGACACTGTGAATTCGGTGCACTGTAAAGGGACGGACTGGAGCGGGTGGGGCTCAGGACAGCGTGGCCACTGTGACCGCTCCAGCTAACACCAGGAGAGATGCAGGTCCACGGAGTTGCAGGCCAGACCTAGGTGCTACCAACAATTGGACCAGAGCCTCCAGACACAGCCACACACATGCACATGCATGACGGCCCGCACCTTTGCTGCAGCCCCATGAGACCCAGGTACCCGGGAGCCCGCGCAGGGCCCCACTGACAGAGAGGCAGGAGACTGGTGCCACTTCAAGCCCTCAGCTGCGATGGTCACCGAGGCAGCAAACCTGGGGGTTTCATGTGCCCCTCGGGTGGATTCTGCTGCTGAATGTAGCACTCTCCACATCTCAGGATTCTGGTCCGGGACAACCAATCAGAACAGAAAAACATTTCCCTTTTAATTGCTTTTGTAATGAATATGTATAGACATTTTCTTTCTTCCTTCTTTCCTTTTTTTTTTTTCTTTTCTTCTTTTTTTTTTTTTTTTTGA